GCAGTTGTCTTGCCTCTGGTGTTTAAAAAGGGAAAAAAAGTTCCCAGAACCTAATATGAAAACAGGCTTGACAGCAAATCCTGTTGTTTTCCCTAGAGATGGCAGTACTAAGGGCTTAGGTACCTTGGTCTAAATTCTATTCCCACTGAAAGACACCTATAACATTCCCAAATGTTTATGTTCTCTTGAGGGGCTGAATTGTTACTCCATCCAATATATCAGATGCTTCAAACTAAAGGACAACTGTTGTCCTTCACTGTCTTCAAAATGATAGTGAACTGTTGGCACTAACATTTTTCAGATCCCTTCAGGTAGCTAGAAATGTTGGCTCCAGTGGGACACCAAAGGGCTAATGACATCAAGGACGGAGGTTCTCAAATTAAATGGCAAAATTAATGGACTGCAACCAGCATTAAAAATATATATACATAACTAGAACAAATGAGGGTAAGCGTTATTTTATAAAAAGTATTGAGCTTTTTTTAAAAATATATTTTATTGATTTTTTACAGAGAGAGGAAGAGAGAGGGATAGAGAGTTAGAAATATTGATGAGAGAGAATCATCGATCAGCTGCCTCTTGTACACCCCCTACTGGGGATGTGCCCGCAACCAACGTACATGCCCTTGACCGGAATCGAACCTGGGACCTTTCAGTCCGTAGGCCAACGCTCTATCCACTGAGCCAAACCGGTTTCGGCAAAAGTATTGAGCTTTTATATACTGGCCCACAATCCTTTATCCAAAACCACTGGGACCAGACATGTTTCAAATTCACGATTTTTCAGAACTTAGGGGAAAAGTTTTATAATTCCGTGACTGCTAAACTGAATGAAATGAAATTACCGCCGTCTGTGGGCAGAGGAAAGGAAACATTGGCAGAGAAGAATCCGGGGATATTGCTTATCTCAAAACCAGGGTCTTGGTAACAAAAAGGGAGAAAACCATTATGGGGATGGCAGTGAAAAAAATGATATTTTTTTATTAAATTATCTGTGTACATATTTTAACATTGCCCCCCCCCCCCATACATGCCCTCCTTCCCCATTTTATTGATTTCAGAGAGGGAAGGAGAGGGAAAGGTAGAAACATCAATGATGAGAGAAGCATTGAACAGCTACCTCCTGCTTGCACCCATACTGGGGAAAGCCCACAACCCAGGCATGTGCGCTGACTGGGAATTGAACTGGGACCTCCTGGTTCATAGATCGAAGCTCAACCACTGAACCAAGCCAGTTGGGCTGCCTAATAGTCAAAATTGTTCATTTTTTTAAAAATATTTATTGATTTCAGAGAGGTAGAGAAAGAGAGAAACATCCATGATGATAGAGAATCATTGATTCTTGCCTCCTGCACACCCCACACTGGGGGTCGAGTCCACAGCCCGGGCATGTGCCCTTGACCATACTCGAACCTGGGACCCTTCAGTCCACAGGCAGATGGGGGCTCCATCTACTGAGCCAAACCGGCCAGGGCTACATTGTTCATTTTCTTGCCATCCCTTTCCAAGATACAGCTACATTGAGAGCCCCTCTTTCTGGCTGGAAACCAGAAAAGTCAAGTGACATACATTCTTAAGTGATCCAAGCCCTGGCCTGACTTTGGGTTCCTTCTACATGAAATCACGAACCCAAAGCCTGGATTTGTGGGAAGAAGAATGTTAATTTAAGCCTTCCTAGCAACAGAAACCTTTCCTCATCAGACAACCAAGAACCATTCTTCGAACCTCTCCCTTTTAACAGGAGATAGGATATGAGTGGTTAAATCTGTCAGTGCTCCGCCCGGTGACTGCAGTGTCATGGCTCTGGCCTAGAACACTCATGAAATTTGCAGTTGCTTCAACTCCCTCTGTCCTTAAGCCTAAAATTCTAAAGTTACATGTTTTGCTTTTCTATACAAAACAAGACCTTTTAGCCTAATAGACTTGTCACTTAGTTTTAAGTCTGAGGAATAGCAAAAACAAAAAACCAAACCAACAAAAACCCCATCTATTGCATTGACAACAGGCCAGGAAGCCTGCAGAGCTTGCTGTATACTAAAACTTCAGCAGGGACTGGACTTCTGAAAGGGGCATTTTTGTTAAAAACTAGAGATGATGCAGTTGCTTTGTGGGGACTGATTAACACTTCTTTTTCTAACCAACCCTACATTTCCCCATGATTCTGAGACTCCGAGTCCGTCCTGTAAGCCGGGGCTCTGGGCAGAACTGTGACGTCATGTACTCCCCCCTCTCTCTCCTGGGAGCTCCTCTAGCTGAACCCAGAATTCTTACTCTGATCCCTGGCTGTAGGATGGAAAGCTTTCTCAAATCTCAAGGTGAAAACAATGCATTCTCACGGCTCACTTTGAGGCCGGTGTGTTAGCTCTCCTTGGAATCAGCACTTTAAAACTGCTTTAGACGAGAGTCAAGTTGAAACCAAAGGAATGCATCTCTGAAAGGTGGAGCTTCTGGAACTGTGGTGTCAGTGTGAGAGGTCTCTCATGGTGACCCCATACACGATAAGAGCTGAGCAGCCGAAACCGGTTTCGCTCAGTGGATAGAGCGTCAGCCTGCGGACTGAAGAGTCCCAGGTTCGATTCTGGTCAAGGGCATGTACCTTGGTTGCGGGCACATCCCCAGTAGGGGGCGTGCAGGAAGCAGCTGATCGATGATTCTCTGTCATCGATGTTTCTAACTCTATCTCTCTTCCTTCCCTATAAAAAAATCAATAATATATATATATATATATATTTTAAATATATTTTATTGATATTTCACAGAGAGGAGGAAGGGAGAGAGATAGAGAGCTAGAAACGTCGATAAGAGAGAAACATCGACCAGCTGCCTTTTGCACATGCCCCACCGGGGATGTGCCCGCAACCAACATACATGCCCTTGACCGGAATCGAACCTGGGACCCCTCAGTCCGCAGACCGACGCTCTACCACTGAGCCAAACCGGCTTTGGCTCAATAAAATATATTTTTTTAAAAAGAGCTGAGCAGATGCTAAAGGTGTCAAAGTGCATGTCCTCTCCAGTGCAGAAAGCCAAACAACCTAACAGTTTAAGTAAAGGATACAAAAATTACCATGTAATTGTTTAACAAACAATTGAATATTTTTATTAGTATAGCTCAAAGAAAGGCAAATGAGATAAGCCATAAAACCAACTTCATAGAGTCTTAACTCCTATGCAACTATTTATGAAAAACAAAATTGGTCAGTTGTATTTAGCAGAGGTGAAATGCTTCAATCAATATACATGTACAATAAAAATTACGGACCCCTTAAGATGTAGAAACTTACAGCTTCAGACTTCAGTAAGTGGTAGCCTTAGTGCATGGGTGTGTGTGTGTGTGTGTGTTTGTATCACAAACTCTTCAAGAAAGAATTCTGTTTCAGGGTTTTTTCTTGGGTGTATATGTTGTGAACAAGAAAATAAATTGTGTGTTTAAGCAAAAATCTGCAGAGAAAGCAAAATCTAGTTGGGTGCTTTTTAAAAAATATATTTTTATTTTAAAGAGAGAAAGGGCGAGGAGAGAGAGGGAAACATTGAAGTAAGAGCGAAACATTTATCTGCTGCCTCCTGCACACCCCCTACCGGGGATCAAGCCCCAACCCCAGGCATGTGCCCTAACCAGGAATCAAACCAACAACCTTTTGGTGCCCCAGATGACACCTATACAGCTGAGCCACACTGCAACAGCTAGTTGGGTAATTTCCTGAATGAGATGGGGCTAAAGCCATTTTAAGGAAAAAGAAAGGTTGAATATTTTAAGCATTTGTGGGCATACAAATGAAAATGGGTCTTTAAAATGGGAGACAAAGGACAGAAATGTTGATAAAGTACAAGGATGTGGGCAGGATGGTGAAATGGCCCAAATGACCAAAATCTTTTGTGAACAGGTAATGCCATCAAAACGTTTATGATAATGCTGAATTCATAATGAATTTTTGGTGGCGGTGGTTTTGGATAGGTGATGTGCAAATGCTAATGCAGAGACTGAGCAGTGGGCCAGCAAGTGTTTAAAAGTTTTCAAAATCTTTATAGTAGCCCTGGCTGGTTTGGCTCAGTGGATGGAGCATCGGCCTGAGAACTGAAGAGTCCCGGTTCGATTCCCGTCAAGGGCATGTGCCTGGGTCGCAGGCACATCCCCAGTGGGCAGAGTGCAGGAGGCAGCTGATTGATGATTCTCTCTCATCGGTGTTTCTAGCTCTCTATCCCTCTCTCTCTCTCTGAAAAAAAAAATCAATAAAAAATATATATCTTTAGAGTAATTTGCACATGTATTTGAGTGTTGATCACACTCCCTCTAACCATCACCACCATCCCAAAACAAAAAAAAACCACCTGCTACTTGAAATACATCGGATTTTTCCAAATCGGCTTTGAAAAACTACATTTTCGGCCGTGTGTACATTGCCTGTGCACGCAGATACCAACGTAACATGACAATTCCAAAGTAAATTCCTGCTTTCCTCTTCTAATCCCAGGGTTTCCTTCTTGAGACCTCCCCTTGGGTATGCTAATTAGGGAGTCCTAATCAGGAAGACCGCTTCCTAGATTAGAAAAACTTTTCCAGTTCTTTCCCGAGCCACTGCTCTGCCGCGTACTCACTTTACACGCTTTACGGGAACGAGTGTGATGTGCCGAATTCTCCGCTACCCGGCTTTCCAATTCTGCCACGCTGGGTGCTGCAGCCTGGTCTGGTGCTGAGCCTGAACAGGGAAGCGGGAAACGCCTGGCCCTGCAGAGGGCCTGATCGCCCGAGCGGAGCCCGGTTAGGAGTCAGGAGGGGCAAAGTGCCCTCCTGAGCAAGCGGCACCCGCCCCCGAAGCAGCTGGCGCCACCGGGGCAGCGCCCGTGCGATGTGGGCGCGCGCAGCCTCGGGTCCCGGAGCGCCCTCTCGCGCCCACGCGCGCCCAGCCGGGGAGGAACGTGTCCCCGCTCCCTCCGCCCCCGCGGGCTGGGGCCGTGGCCGCGGGCGCGCAGGGGGCGGGGCGGCGCGGGGGCGCGCGCGCGGGGCCGCGGGCAGGGGGGCGGGGCGGCAGAGCTCGGCGGCGGGGCCTGGAGGACAGCGGCGGCGGCGGCGACGAGTGGCAGCGGGAGTGGCGCCGAGAGGCCGTGCGGGACGCGGGCACCGGGAAGGGGAAAGCGCGGAGGTAACGGAGGACGGGACGGGGCGGGCGGGCGAGGAGCGGGCACCGGCTCGCTGGACCCCGAAGGCGAGTGGCGGAGGCCGCTGGCCCGGGGTGCCGACGCCGCTTCCCGAGAAAAGGGGGCGGGGCGCTCGGGTCCCCGGAGGTGGCGCCTTTTGTCTGCCTTCCGCGGCCGCTCCGCCCCTACTTCCCCTCCTCCCCCTGCGCCCAAGCCCCCTGCCCGTCTGGTTGACGCTTCCTCGGGGGCCCTCCGGCGCGCGCTCCCGCCCTTGTTTTGTTTGTACCCGGGTGAGGGGGGTGGAGGAGGGGAGAGCGCTTCCCCGGTCCGGGGCCTTGCGTCCCAGCGCGCCTGCGCCGGCGCCCGCCCTCCGCGCTCCCATTGGCTGAGGCGTGTGCGCATGCGCCGAGGCCGCGCGGGGCCTGGCGCGCAGGTCCCGCCCTCCCTCTGGCTCCCCACTCCCCTCAGCGGTTCTCATAGCCGGTTCGAAAGATGCCGGTGGCCGTGACTGGCTGCGGCGGGCCCGCCTCCCGGGTTCTTCGCCACAGCCGCCGCCGCCATTACGGAGCTTCCTGTGGTGAGTGCGCGGACCCTGGCGATCACGGCCCGCCGCTGCTGGCGTCGCGCGGGCGGTGGCGCCGGCCTGGGTCGCGAGCATGCCCGAGCGCCAGCCCGGAGCTGCCGCCGCCCCTCGGGGTCCGCCGCCGCCGCTGCATCCCCGCGTCACTCGCCTCGCTGCCTTCATCTTGGCTCCGCTCTGCCCCCGCCTTCTGCTCGCGCACCGCACCGGCCGCTGCCGCCTTTGTCTCCGCTGTCCTCTCCTCCGCGTGGGCCTCCGCGGGCCGGGCGAGCGCTGCGAGGCGTGGGCGCCGCTGTCCGGGCCCCGCCGCCGCCGCGCCGCGGACCTAAGCTTTCCTCTTCCCGTTTGGCGTTCCTAGAGCTCGCTGCTCGCCGCCCCTTAGAGGATGCGGTTTTAATTAACAAGTCAGTCTTGTGAGTGTGAGCGTTTGTAGAGAGATGGAGGCCAGAGTTTGGACACCTAACGGACCATTGTCTGTGGCCCGAGGCTTCGCCCCGCACAGAGGTCCGGCCAAGGTGAACCTGACCGCCCCCTTCGCTGTCAGTTCCCTACGTCTCACCCAATGAGGCATTCCAGCGAGAGGTGGGAATGCAGTTAGAAAGGCGTGTAGGATTCACCTGGGACCTTAGAGTGACGTTAGGCCAGTCATCTTGTTGGGGGAACATACTTAAACTTTGTTTTTACCTGGCATAGGTGTTAAATTATTAGGAACTTTTTAATATTTAAATTTTATTGCTCCTTTCAAAAGTTTAATGTGTTGTGTTTCAAAGTATTAGAAACAATATCATAAAGAAACAATATCATATACAAACAATATCATAAAGTAGAAACAATATCATTTGCTTTGCTTTTAATGTTATTACGAAGATTGAGGAAGTGTCCAGAACTCTACTTGTAACGGTGAAAATCCTATGTAGACAGTGATTGTCTTTTGAGGGAGGGCATGTAGTGGCCATAGTATCTGTTCCCAAGATAGACACGAGTTAAGGACATACCGATTTACCAAAGTGTGAAAGTAAAAAAATAAGTTGCCAGCAGTCGAATTACAGGTATCCTTTTTTCTGACATTATCCATTAAGTCCAAATATAGGGAAAGACTTGAGATTGGAAAATTTTATCTATTTCTTGCTTAGCTGATGACATTAGAATATATTGCATACTTAAAAATCATTGATATCAATAAACTGAAATAGATTGTTAAGCTCCTATTTGTTGCTTTCTCTTAATGTAGAGAAAGTTATCTAAAACGCTGAAATTCTGTACTTCTTTTGCAGTTTTCTTTTTATTGCGTGTATTAAAATAACTTGCATTTCCCTTGACAAAAGCAAATTTTTGTATTGTTAATCTAACATTAAATTTTTTTAAAAAATCAGATTGATGACTAGAGAAGGACCACAGGTAAACTCAGGTTTTTGGACACATAGAGGAACCCAGGTGAAAACTATAATAAGCTTCATCCTTTTTTTTTTCATTCAACAAATCTTTTTTGAACACATTCTGTGCCTGGTATGTTCTTAGACACCAAGTATGCAGCAGTGAATCAGCTAGATAAGATCTCTGGCAGGGAACAAGTGAAGCAGCCTAAAAGTCTGATTACTCAGAAGTGCAGCACAAAAATTTAATTAATAGGTACATGATGGTGTTAGGGCAGAGTGAATTAACTATTCATATAGTTTTGTTAGCTCTTCTGATAAACAGTGAACTTATAAAGCAGCCTATACTAAAGAAAGTACTATAAAGTGAAGCTTTAAATTTCATCACCTTTACAAAGAAGTCAAAACTGAGACAAACATTTATCTCAAATAATATGTTCTTTACATATATTGGTTATAGTATTAAGCACTATCAGATGCCACTGTTCATTCAACTTTTCCCCCAATATTTATCCAGCACCCACTATGTTTGGACATTTCTAGGTGCTGAGAATACATTGGTGAATTTAAGTCTTAGCCCTTTAGGCGCTTACATACCATTGGAGAGATATATACTAAACAAGTAAACAGACATATATTGAATTTTAGGTTGTGATAATGCTATAAAGAGACCTGAAGAAGACTAAGAGCTGTGGGAGATTTGTCTGATGGGGTATAACATTGAGTAGAAACCTGATTGAAACCTCTAGGAAACGAGTTCCAGTTTAAGAGAACAGCAAGTGCAATCACTGATACAGGGATGAGCAAGGAACAGTCTGAGGGCCAAAAGAAGGTCTGTTTTGGAGGTTGACTGAGCAGAGTGGTCCATATAGCAGAGGGATGTGAGGTTAGTGAAAAAGGGAGTGCTAATTGGGAGGTCTTAAGAATGTCAGAATAGGGGAGGGGGGCAAATCAGCTATTTCTCTGCTTATCTGAGATTATTCCAACCTTTTTTTTTTTTTTATCCTCGCCTGAGGGGATATGTTTTTATTGATTTTTTAGAGAGGAAGAGACAATGATCAGTTGCCAACTCTGGATGAAACCCCCGCAGCCTTTCGGTGTAGGGGAGGACACTAACTGAGCCACCTGGCCAGGGCTGGGCATACTCCTTATCTGGACTAATTTAAACTGTCATTCTTGTCCTTACAATAACAAGGTCTGATGTCTTTATGGACCGTGTGCCTGTTGTTGCCCTGATTTTAGTCAATTTCATCACTTTGACAGATGTAGCTTCCTGTGCCCCCTCCCTTTTTAAACCTGTTTGTTCTAATTTTTTAGTAATTAGTAAGCACAGAGTTGTCCGGAAAGGCTATGACACTTTTTTCAGTATTTTGTTTACAGAGAAAAGATTTTTAAAGATATTGTATGAATTAGAGATGACTAAAGGTTTTGTTGACTTCACACAGTAGCATTTTTAGTCTAACTAGTGGGTTAAGAAAGATGAATTCATTAGCGATATCATTTTATCAAAATACCCTGATTATATTTTACTTCTGTATAGTGTTCACATAATAAAAGCAGTTTTATTTCGTTGTTTTGTTTTCATTTATGCAAATATATTACTACCTAATTGCTAGTGGATGAATGAGCAGATCTATATATTGAAAGTATTACAAGATAGACTTTTAGATTTCAGAAAAGTAAATAATGCCCTTAAACCCAACTTGGCCCTCTTTTTACTATCCTGAATTTTTTCAGTTTTCCTTACAGCTGATGGACAATTCACAAATCTGGTACTGCTCCTGTTGTGTCCATAAAAAGATTTTCCCTGTACATGTGGAAGCATTCCCTATGTCTGAATGTTTTGGATTTGTCCCAGTTGTTTTAGCTTGGGACTGTTAGCTGACAAATGGAAAGCTCTTAAATTCCTAGATAGGGATAGAATTGAAAGTAGACTAGCCAGCAACTCCATGTTAATGTTCAATAGCACAGAGGTATAAACACTTAACTGATCACTTTTTCATGTTGTGGATGGATTATAATGTGTCATTGAAATTTTTGGCAGGGGCAGATGGTATTAATGATCAGATAATTTTAGTGACATGGATTTTATCTTGGAACATTTAATTATATTCTGTGCTAGTTTTGCTTCCATTAAAAATATGACAAAGTCTTAGAAGCATATGTGTTTTTATAGGTGATGGTCTAAATTTGCTTCTCTGGGCTGGAGACTTTTAGTATGTTACATTCTTCAGTAGTTTTTTTGCCCCTAGTGTTCTTTAGTGAAGATGGAGTTAAGGTTACAGGTAATTTTTCTCATTCTTTTGAGAAGAGTAACAGTAAGTTTACCCTCTTTAGTTAGCAGATCTTTAAGTAAAGTTTGACTAAACTGTTCCTTAATCTTATTCTTTTCTTTCTAAGTTCCTGATAAGCAGGATGGGATGGCACTTGGTTCCTTACGAGCTTTCTTGTCCTTGTTGCTTGTGTTCATGTGGAAGGTGCAACAGCTGCTGTGGCTTGTGCATTTGTTAGTCGCTGCTTTTCATAGTCTGTATTTTGATAGAGATTTTATCTTTCTGAATGATAACTGACCAAGTCATCTATCATTTAACTCTTAAGTATTTTAGATAAGTTTTTGTTCCCTTTGCATGTATATTAAATGTAGATGTTTTAGTTCAGTTTTGTTTCTGTTAATCTTCATACAGGTTTTTTCTGTGCTTTAGGTTGACTTTTCACCACACTGAAACCATTAGGAAAAAATCCTTGTGGTTAACGCAGAGGCTTCAGAGTGTAACCTGTACTGGGGCCTAGAAATTATTTTAAATGGCGACTGATATGTCTCAAGGTGAACTCGTCCATCCTAAGGCACTCCCACTTATAGTAGGAGCTCAGCTGATCCACGCGGACAAGTTAGGTGAGGTAGGGGCTGACATATTCTTGAAGCTCACTCTCGGATCAGTCCTTGACTTCAGGCTCTACTGGGTCCTTCTTGGTATATGCTCCTTCCCCTACTTTGGGGAATCTGGATTGTGAATCTGAAAAAAACAAAATCTACAGTATTCTTTTCATCTCTCCTTTCCCTTCTAATTTCTAAGAAAACTTCCAACCTTCTATATTTATTCTAAATCAAGTATAATTAGTTGTTCCCTTTGGAAATTCTTGCTAAAAGAAAGTATTTTGAAAGTACTTCTTAAAAATCATATTTCACTTCAAAAAAATTGTTAAAATTAATTTGCATCAGATTTGGGAGTAGACTTAGAATTCACCTTCTTCTGACACCCAGTTAGGCCCCTTGGGAAAGGGGAAAGGGAATTTTTTAATGCTGTCTCTTTTCTTAGAAGGTGGAAGACAGCGCCATGCCGATTCGACGAACTGTGAATTCTACCCGGGAAACTCCTCCCAAAAGCAAGCCTGCTGAAGGGGAAGAAGCAAAGCCAGGTAAAGAAAAGTGAACCACTTCAAAGGCAAAGGTGTTTGCTCCAATTTGGAGTGTCCCATAAATTTCCTTGAACTTAATTTTTTTTTCATACCTAAGTGTTTTGGGGAACAATTGAAAAGAGAAGTAGTATCTGATGGTATGTCATGTTCAGACCATATGGGCAAAATAAGGGTTTCATCTTTTTTCTTCTTCCTTTTTTTTTTTTTTTATATTGATTTTTTTTACAAAGATGAAGGGAGAGGGGTAGAGAGCTAGAAACATTGATGAGAGAGAAACATCCATCAGCTGCCTCCTGCACACTGGGGATGTGCCTGCAACCAAGGTACATGCCTTTGACCGGAATCGAATCTGGGACCTTTCAGTCCGCATGCCAATGCTCTATCCACTGAGCCAAACCGGTTTCGGCTGTATCCATTTCTTACACAATTACATGGTCAACTTGAGTGACATAAATAAGGAAAGAAAACTGTACTCATAAGTCATTTGTTCATTTTAGAATCTGTCGATTAATTGGGGCATTTGTATCATTTGTTTAATAACATAAATCTTTACCCTTTTATTGACTCAAACTAATATGTCTAGTTGGTGCAGTTCTGCTCACCTGATTTTTTTTTAGAACCAGACGTAAGTTCAGAGGAATCTGTCTCCACTGTAGAAGAACAAGAGAATGAAACTCCACCTGCTACATCTAGTGAGACAGAACAGCCAAAGGGGGAACCTGAGAATGCAGAGAAGGAAGAAAACAAGCCCTCTGAGGAAACCAAAAAGGAGTAAGGAGTTATGTGTTCTTACTGTATGTAATTAAAGTATGTAAAAGGACTGTAGACAAGGTTGTTTTAGTTTGTTTTAAAATATGTTTTTATTGATTTCAGAGATAGGAAGGGGGGAGAGAGAGACGGGGCTAGAAATATCAATAATGAGAGAGAATCATTGCTCAACTATCCCCTGCATGCTCCTTACTGGGGATTGAACTCACAACCTGAGATGTACCCTGACTGGGAATCAAACCATGACCTCCTAGTTCATGAGTTGATGCTCAACCATTGAGCGGCATTAGACAAGATGTAGACAAGATTGTTTCAAAGTGTCATAACATTGATTTATGCTAGATATTTGCTTTTTTTATGTTTTAGACTTACCATTTGAAATAAGTTTATTATGTAGATGTATGGCCTATTAAAATATGTATTGACTGTCAAAACAATGGTTTTCAGGCGTCCTCAAACTTTTTAAAGTGGGGGCCAGATCACGGTCCCTCAGAGAGCTGGAGGGCCAGACTATATGAACTACTAATTCCTACTGTAACACCTCGGCTGCGCTCACTGCCCAAAAAACCTGGCAGGCCGGATCAGACTCCTCTGCGGGCCGCATGTGGCCCGCAGGCCGTAGTTTGAAGACGCCTGGTTTAGATAATCCAAAATTCATTCCTTTTGGCTTTGGATTGTGTTTTTGGGCTTATAATTCATTGTGGGAGTGTCTTGATATTTTAAGCATTGACATAATTTAAAATGAAACATGATTACAAAAATCTGACCTTGCCCTGGCCATGTCCTCAGTGGTTATAGTGTCGGCCTTTGTACCAAAGGGTCCCACGTTTAATTCCTGGTAGGTGCAGGTTCCATCCCTGGCCCGGTTCGGGCGTGTGTGTGTGTGGGAGGTAACCAACTGATGTGTCTCTGTAATATCAGTGTTTCTCTCCTCCCTGTCCCCTATTCCCTTCCTCCCTTCCACTCTTTCCAAAAAATCAATGGCAGAAATATATCCTTGGGTGAGTATTAACAACAAAAATCAGTTGTATTGGTGTCAACACGTACACTAAAAGGTTGCTCGTTTTATTCAGAGTCAGGGCACAGGACCAGGTTGCAGGCTTGATCCCTGGTAGGAGATGTGTAGGAGGCAGCTGGTCATGTTGTTTCTCCCTTCCTCTCTAAAAATCAGTTTAAAAAAAGGGGAGGGGAGGATAATTTAGTAATAACTATACCTTTTAGATGTAATCCTTGGGGAATCCTTTATCCCAGTTTCATGGGTATACTTAAAATCTAGAAATTTGTTGTTAATCCTCACCCATGGATATTTTCCCATTGATTTTTAGAGAGTGTGGAAAGGAGAGTAACACCACTTAGCAACACCAGCCAGGGCAGCACCCTATTTTTTTTAAATGTTTTATTTAGTAAAATGTTGTTAAAATATGTGTCACCTTAGTGTGGAAGTAAATTAAAGCATTAATTTTTACCCACCCTCCGTCTTTCTAACTTTATGCCCCTTTCTGGAAAGTTTATTTTACACAATAACAATTCTTTATTTTAAAGAGAGAAAGATCAGTCTAAAGAAAAGGAGAAGAAAGTGAAAAAAACAATACCTTCTTGGGCTACCCTTTCTGCCAGCCAGCTCGCGAGGGCCCAGAAACAAACACCTCTGGCCTCCTCCCCACGTCCCAAGATGGATGCGATCCTCACTGAGGCCATTAAGGCAAGTTTTTACTTCCAGAAGTTTACATAGGTTTATTCTTTGCATCTTTTGCTTATTTGAAAATGGTATACTCCTGTCCAGACATCAGAAATGTTGCTCTGCTTCCTAAAAGAGAATAGGAGAAAGCCATTTTGAAGTTTGTTTCCTGTAATGTAGTGTGTAAGATAACAATCAAGTCTTTACCCAAAGAGAGTGAGTATGCGCTACGTTTAGTATATAGACAATGGCAACACAAAATGGTTAAACTATCAGTGGTTTGCAAACTCATTAGTCAACTGAGCCAAATACCAACAGATGACGATTGAAATTTCTTTAGAGAGCCAACTGTTTTAAACTTAAACTTCTTCTAATGCCACTTTTTCAAAATAGACTCGCCCAGGCCGTGGTATTTTATGGAAGAGCCACATTCAAGGGACCAAAGAGTCGCATGTGGCTCGCAAGCTGCAGTTTGCCAACCACAGGACTAGACTATGAGATAAATAACAGGTGCTGTTTAAGTGTGCTTCAAAATGTATAGCATTTGAAAAAATTTTCTGCCTTAAGTGACATAGTAATGACCTGCTTAAGTTTTCCATGGGCATTAGTCAAATGAAATATAGATAAATAGAATGGAAATGGAAGAGGGCATGTTAAATTGCAATTTAATGCCCTGTTGTTATCCAAAATGCCCCTTAAATTTTGCTACCTAGCCGAAACTGGTTTGGCTCAGTGGATAGAGCGCCTGCAGACTGAAAGGTCTCAGGTTTGATTCCAGTCAAAGGCATGTATCTTGGTTGCGGGAACATCCCCATTAAGTAAGGTGACCAGATGTCCCGCTTTTGGCGGGACAGTCCTGATTTTTAACAATTTGTCCCTTACCATTAGGGGGTGTGCAGGAGGCAGCTGATCCATGTTTCTTTCTTATTGATGTTTCTAATTCTCTATCCCTCTCTCTTCCGCTCTATAAAAAAAACAATAAAATATAAATTAGAAAAAAACTTTGCTACCTATAAGTCCAATTTTATTTTATTTTAAAAAAATATATTTTATTGACTTTTTTACAGAGAAGAAGGGAGGAGAGAAAGTTAGAAACATCAATGAGAGCGAAACATCAATCGGTTAGGGCTGTAAGTCCAATTTTATGCCATTTATTCAGATTATCTTCGTTTATGTTCTCTGCTGACATTCACACAAAGCCTGCAGAGAAATACTGGTTCTGGTGTGCCAAAACTCATTCCATATAATAGGCGAGATCTGTGACCCAGTGTTCTCTTTCCTTGTTTTAGTGCTAAAGATTGTCTTCTAAATATAGAATAGAATTAAAATGGAATGAGGTTCTTCATTAACACAAAATGTAATTCACATGTTGTATCTTCTCTTTTGAACAGTTTTTAAATTATTGTTGCAGAAATATTTTAATTCTTTATTTCTCCGCAGCCATGATGAACTGAACTTACCTGAAGTACTGCTCATTCGTTCCTGCCATTTTTTCATTCATTATTAAGTTCACTTCCAAAATAATATATTTTGAAAATATGTGTCAGCTTCTCTGTCTAAAGAAAAGCAGCTAGTTGAAAGTAACATGTATGGTTTGGTAAATTGTTTTCTAGGCATGCTTCCAGAAGAGTGGTGCATCAGTTGTTGCTATTCGAAAATATATCATCCATAAGTACCCTTCTCTGGAGCTGGAGAGAAGAGGCTACCTCCTCAAACAAGCACTGAAAAGAGAATTAAATAGAGGTGTCATCAAACAGGTATTACACAGTGGTTGGTAATAAGATCATTCCATCATATAAGTCCATAGTTAGAAACATTTAGGCTTTTTATATCTTTTTTGTTAAAAATAAGTTAACATGATGAAATACTTAAGCTTAACCTAGTTTTACTATCTGAAACTAGGTTTCCAAATCACTGCCAGTTACCTTTTATAACTAGCCTAGAGAGCAGAAGCAGTAGGATAGTATAATTATTTTCTAGTTGCTTGTACTTTTAATTGGATTTTCTTTGGAGGCTTTGTGCTGTAGATGAGAAGCAAGGTTAAGGAATCCTTTTATTACAGCACCAAAAATGATAACTGCTTAAGCGTTAGATTTGTTAGTTTTAAAGCCTTGATTATGTGGCTAAACTTGTTTGCCCTTATAAATTAGCTTCACTTTTGCTCAAACTGTTAAAGCTTGTTAGGAGCATCAAAGAAACCAGAGTAAATTGAGACTAGTACTAATGCCAATATTGATTTCAAGCATAAATCTGTGATACTTTGCATACATAGTACATCAAAATGTTGCTTAGAATCATGAAAATATAAAGCGAGAATGGACTTTAAACGTTCTTCAGAAGTTCGAGGGATGAAGTAACTACCGAGTTCTCGTGGGATTGGCAAAGGTGGTTATCAAGGACCCTGTTCACTGCATTCCCAGGGACATCTTGCCTTTATACCTTTCTACCCAGATTGATTAATATAGAATTCTGTGTCACTCGGGCATTTAAACTCTTCGGGAATTTTCAACCAATACTTAATTCCACCAGTATGTACAGGGTGTCTCCTGTGTGCCAGGTGCTTGAGGGTCCATCAGCGAGGAAAACAGATTTCTGCTGTATGGAGCTCACATTCTAGCTTTCTCAAAATGTCAAACTGATATGTAAGTGGGTCTTTAAATAATCATAGATTAAAAGATATTATCTAACCAATATAATTAGAACCAAAGACCTGTCCTATATCACAGTGTATGTTAGCACAATTTGTGAGTTGGCTTTGTGTTTTTCTTTACCAAAATAATGGTTTGTGACCTATTCTTGCCTCATAGCCTGACCCTCTGCTTGATGTTTATAAGCTGGAAGCATTTCAGCTAGATTGCTATGTTCATAGCGGTGTAGGTAAAGCTAGAGGGTAGAGGCCTCAGGTTAATGTAAATCAACTTAAAGTTCTATGAAGGTGCCTTGTAAACTATGGAAAGGAAATATGTGGTATGACTTACATAACCTTTCCCACATGTAGGAAAAATCTGTAATGCGCAAACTGGGAAGCATTATGTATGGCCTGAGATGAAGTAGGCTGTAAACTTTTGCCAAGTAGCTGTCGCCCTTTCAAGACAGAAGATTTTTCTTTTTCCCCAGCAGATTGTGTCCCTTCTTTCCATGGGATTTTTTTTTTTTTTTTTTGAGAGAGAGAGAGGGTAGTTTATAATAGACAATCCGGTATCACAAATAGCATTCTTCTCCCAATTTGTAGATTAGGAAACAAAAGCTGAGGGTTTACAGGGTTGTTCAATATTGAATAGCTAGATAGTACCGTAAATATGATTCAGTCCTGTCTTTTGACAAATCCATTGCTTGTTTGCTTCTCTCTTGACAAAGTGACCAGCATTTTACATTAGTTCTTGTATTACTATTCCCTGTAATTTGCTTATTATTTGGTATAAAGTTAGAAATGTGAATACCAGAATAATTTAAAACAAAAATGTTCGTTATTACAACTAAATTTAATTTACTTTAGGTAAAAGGGAAAGGTGCTTCTGGGAGTTTTGTAGTGGTCCAGAAATCGAGAAAAACCTCTCAAAAATCCAGAAACAGAAAGGTAAGAAGTCTGTACCATAGTTTGATTGTTCACTGTGATTCTGTTGCTACTAACTTTGTGCCATGCCCTGTGCCATGTTTGCCTTTTTATTAAGTCCTAGAGAGGTTACAAGTAATTTACTCATTCTTGCCCACCTAGTGAACAGAATAGATAGTGTGCAAATCCAAGCACTCAACCCCAGAGTCTGTGGACTTAATTGCCCTGTTAAGTTATGGGAAACTATATAAAATTACCCTACTTTGTGTGAAATATAAACAACAAGAGGCAAAAAATTTTAAAAAAACCACACACCCTAAAAAATAAACATTTCTACTCAATATTATACCCCAAAACTATTCTCAGAGCCAGTTTTTATTCTCTTTCTCTCCTTGCCAAGATACATAATTTCATTTATGGAAAGTATACAGTAATAAAGTGAAATAAATATCCAGTATTTCCTCTGTTAGTAAATGAAATTATGAATATTCCTCTACATCTTTATTTTCACAACCCTAAAAATTTTTATACTTTTTTCATAAAACTGGCAAGCACTTTCAAAATGAACTGTGTAGTGCTTTTTGGTGCTCCATGACACTTTTTCATTGTTTGTTAATGAATTAAGGCCTTTCAATTAAGTTGAATTATTTTTTTAAATTTAGTTTTAATATATTTTTATTGATTTCAGAGAGAAAGGAGAGAGAAACATTAATGTTGAGAAAGAATCATTGATCGGCTGCCTCCTGCAGGCCCCATACTGGGGATCAAGCCCTCAATCCGGGCATGTTCCCCAACAGGAAGTCAAACCAGGGAATCAAACCAAGACCACCTGGTTCATAGGTCAACCCTCAACCATTGAGCCACACAGGCCAAGCCTGTTTTTTATTTTTATATGTATTTTTAACGCTCCTAATCTGAAATTTGAATCTTACTTTGCCACACAAGTAAAATTGCAGCACTGTGATATGATTTCTTTTAATGTAAAAAGAATGATCATTTTGGTTGGTTGGTTGATTTGGCAACCAGCTTAGAAAAAGCCTTTGAGTTGAATATAGAAGCATTTGTACAAAAAGCTCTACATTCTCTAATGATAACTTTTGATATTACATTTTAGAACAGGAACTCTGCAGTGGATCCAGAACCACAAGTAAAATTGGAGGATATCCTCCCCCTGGCCTTTACTCGCCTTTGTGAACCTAAAGAAGCTTCCTACAGTCTCATCAGAAAATATGTGTCTCAGTATTATCCTAAACTTAGAGTGGATATCAGGTATGACCTGTTGGCCTGGATTTTAAAGCATAGGTATTTGTTATTCTCTTAGCCCCTTTTCATGAGGAAGGAGAAAGATTAAATATTCAAGGGATTACTGTTAGCTGAGCTAGGAATTTTTTGTAAGTTTAATTTTTAATTTTTATTTTATTTTGGAAACCCAAACTGCATGTTAACTTTTGTAAGACACTGATAGAGTAACTTTTTTTTTTTTTAATTGATTTTTTACAGAGAGGAAGGGAGAGAGATAGAGAGCTAGAAACGTCGAGGAGAGAGAAACATCGACCAGCTGCCTCCTGCACACCCCCCACCGGGGATGTGCCCGCAACCAATGTACATGCCCCTGACCGGAATCGAACCCAGAACCCTTCAGTCCGCAGACTGACGCTCTACCACTGAGCCAAACCGGCTTTGGCTAGAGTAACTTTAAAAAAAAAAATTGATTTCAGAGAGAAAGGGAGAGATAGAAATATCAATGATGAGCGAGAATCAGTGGTGACCTAATTCATAGGTCCAATCTCAACCACCAAGCCATACCAGCCAGACAATCTTAACCATTTTTAAACGTACAGTGTTTAATGGTATCAGATCCTATGTAATAGAAGCCTAATATGCTAAGTATCTGGCCATCCATTTAACCAATCAAAGCAAAATATGGTAATGATATGCTAAAGCCACGCAACTGCTTGTGTGACATGTACTGACCATCATGGCCCAGTCAGTCGACTGGTAGGCTAGCTTGCTGCTGGATCTCGATTGAGTGAGAAGGGCTGGACATTCCCTGGAGCCCTCTTGCAGTCCCTCAATCCCACCCCAGCCCCATTCGTGTCCCGGTGGGGTCCCTCTGCCTGGCCTGCGCTCTCTTGCAATCTGGTACCCCTCGGGACGTCAGAGAGCTGGTTTTGGCCTGATTCCACAGGCCAGGCCAAGGAACCCCACTGGTGCAAGATCACGGCTGGGGAGGGACCGCAGGAGGGCTCCAGGGCATATCCAGCCCATCTCATCCAGTCAGGCCTCTAGTATATTCACAGTGTGCTACCAACACGACCATCCATTTCTAGAATTCCTTTAATTTTATAAAATTGCAGCCTGGTACCTGTTAAGCAAGAACTGTTCATTTTCTTTTCCTCCAGACCGTGGTACCACCATTCTACTTTCTGTCTCTGATTTTGTAACCTGGTTCTTCTACTGCCTTGTTATGTGACCTTGGAGAAATGACTTGATTTTTCTATGTCACTTAACTTCTCCTTCAGTAAAGTATGGGAAATAATAGTGTCTGTTTTTGGGGGTTGTTGTGTTATTTATTTAGAACAACACTTGACACCATAGTACATGCAATATGATGGGTGATAGATTAGAGAATTTTTCAGAAAAGAGCTGTGTCTACGAATTAGTAGTAAGTTAAAAACATGGGCATTGATTACGTCTAGACGAAAGTGTAGAATTAAGTGGGATGACTGACAGTGGGTGACAGAAGAAAAGGATGGGAAAGGAGCTTCATTAGAAAATTTCAGAGGCAGGGGTTGGCATTCTTTTTGGGGAACTGAAAGAAGCCTGGGTCTGACTGGATCTAGATTAACAAGGGATGGGACCCTGTCACCAAAGCCTTTGGAGCTGGATTGAGGCATTTATACCTGACACCTGTTCTGTTGAGTAACATTAATAAAGATATACTATCTTGCCCTACCCAGTTTTCTCAGTGGTTAGAGCATCGCACTGCAGGGACCTGGGTTCCATTCCAGTCAAGGGCACATACCTCAGTTGCAGGCTTCTCCCCTGTCAGAGCTCATGAAGGAGGCAATCAATAGATGTCTTTCTCTCACATCGATATTTCTGTCTTTCCCTCTCCCACTCTTTCTAAAACATCAATGGAAAAAATATCCTCAGGTAACAATTTTTTAAAATAAATAATAAACATCTATGGAAAAATATCCTCAGATGAGGAGTAACAAAAATAAACAAGCAAGCAAACGTTTTTGTAGGCATATTGACCTTAGAGTAGAGTGCAGTGTGAAAACAACAGCACAGGGTCCAGAAAAGAGGGCATGGTGGCTTGTATTAAGGATATGGCAGTGATTAGAGAGAGGGGGCCAATCTGAGAATCATTGAAGCAGTTGGTAAATAAGTTTTATGTGAAGATAGGAATGATAGAACTCTGAGTGATGGGATTCTTGCCTAGGACAAGGTATATGCTCACATAATTTGTGCTGAAGGGAACTAATTTAACTGATACTCATTCCTGGAGCATTTGAACCTAGGTTAGGAAGATTATTTTCAGACAAGTTATTTAATTTAATAAAAGAGTCAAGGTTTCAGTGTTTTACTTAAGCTGTGATTGCCCCCATTAATAATCAGCCTTTAAGCAATCTTAACTTATAAAGCAAGTAATAGAAAAACTTTCAGTTAAATTATTCCCTCTATGTTCCCAAAGCTTTATGCCCATACTTTAGTCCTGACCTTTATCATTCTCTAACTTAATTATGTATTCATTATCTCTTTACTTCCTTGAATTTAATGACCAGATCTATGTGTTTATTCTTGCATAACCATACTAAGTACCAAATAAATATTTGTGGAATGAATAACTTAAGAAAGTATGTATGTTTTGGGTCTTAGCATAAATCATATTCCTCTTGAATAGAACCACACTGGCTTAGAAATTTTTTCATTGGGAGTTGTTTTATTGGGATTTTCTAATTTGAAGTGTCAGGGTATATAAGATTTGATGGTATAGTTCCTACTCTACAGCATCCTGTTAGAACATGGGGGATCCCTTCCACTCTTCTTCCTCAAGCATATGGATGATGCCATTAATAACTCTATAGCAGCTCAGCTTGTAATACTTAGTGGTTATAAAAGATTCAAAATTGCCCAGCCAGTGTTGCTCAGTGGTTGAGCATCAACCCATAAAACAAGAGGTCACCAGGTCAATTCTCTATCAGGGCATGTGCCTGGATTTTAGGCTCAATCTCCAGTGAGGGCATGTGGGAGGTGGCCAATTGATGTTTCTCTCTTATTGCTATTTCTACCTCCCACTCTCCCTCTCTAAAAATCAGTAAAAACATACTTTTTAACAAAAGATTCAGCCTTAGCCAGTTTGGCTCAGTAGATAGAGCTTTGGCCTGTGGACTGAAAAGGGTTCCAGGTTCGATTCCAGTCAAGGGCACGTACCTCAGTTGCATGCTGATCAATCAATGTTTCTCTCTCACTTCGTTTCTCTTTTTGTCTCTCCCCCTCCCTCCCACTCTAAAAATCAATGGAAAAGTGTCCTCGGGTGAGGATTAGCAAAAAACAAAAATAAAATAAAAATTTTTAAAAGATTCAAAATTTCTATCCAAAAAAAAAGACAGAACTCAATGATGCACCTCAAATGATAATAGTGGGGCCCTTGTTATTCTGCCCCACTGATCTTTTCTGTATAATGAGCAGCTAACCAGTTTCAAATAAGTAGCTTGATATTCTGCTCTTGTGGGGGCTATTCTAGTAATTCTTGAGAGGTGTGCCACCAGCTTTTGGATTGTGATTAAGCCTTTCTTCCTGTTCTTGGCCCAGACATAAAGCTTTCCATTTGACTGTCTTGTTCCATATCACATACCTTTAAGTCCTAAGTCAACTTGTTTTCTCCCTGCACCTCAGGTTCCCCAGCTGCCATTCAGGCCACTGCCCTTTGACAGAACAGCTCTTGCTTCAACACTTTGTTCTTCTGTTATTTTTCTTGTTTTTAATGATACTCAGTTTCTTCCTGCCTGCCATTTAGGTTTTTTTGTGGGTTTTTTTAATATATTTCATTGATTTTTTACAGAGAGGAAGAGAGAGGGATAGAGAGTTAGAAACATCGATGAGAGAGAATCATCGATCAGCTGCCTCTTGCACACCTCCTACTGGGGATGTGCCCGCAACCCAGGTACATGCCCTTGACCGGAATCGAACCCGGGACCTTTCAGTCCACAGGCCGACGCTCTATCCACTGAGCCAGACCGGTTTTGGCCCTGGCATTTAGTTTTGATAACTTTGTTTTTTGTTTGTTTGTTTAATGACAAGTCTCAGGACAGATAGAGACTATGTTTAAAACAACTTACTCTGTTTCTCGGGAAGTTGTATTTTATTAAGCTGACTTCTAGATACTGGTTTGTAAAAAGTGACTCATTTGTTTTTTGTTAGTGTGTGTGTGTGTGTGTGTATACATATATACACACACATTTTTAAAACCAGTTAGGAATTTTGCCTCAGAATTCTAGAATTGGATAGAACTTTAAAAGATACCCATTCTTTGCTTGATTATACAATTTGATTGCTGTTGTGATCTGATACTAAATGATACGTTTTTGGAATGCCCTAACATTTTGGAAACTGGTCTGTATGTACAGGTAATGACTTAGCATCCTTGCTTGAAGAAAAAGAATGCCACTTGCTAAGGGTGCCACTTGTTAAAGTAATTTATTAATTTATTGTCCTTTTTAACAAAGTACTATGTGTAATAGAAATCAGAACTTTAGTTCAAAGAATAACCTTGGATCTATTCAAATCTTTCCTTCATCTATATATTTACCATTATTTTTTGTTTTCTCTGCAGGCCTCAGCTGTTGAAGAATGCTCTGCAGAGAGCAGTAGAAAGAGGCCAGTTAGAACAAATAACTGGTAAAGGTGCTTCTGGAACATTCCAGGTTAGAGGCCCAAAACACTTGCTTATAACAAAGTGGTTCTCAAAAGTTTTGGTTTCAGCCCTGGCCACTGTGGCTTGGTTAAGTGTCTTCCCATGCACTAAGAGGTTGCTGGTTCAATTTCCTGGTCAGGGCGCATTCCCAGGTTTCAGGCTTGTTCCTCAGTTGGGGACATGCAGGAGGTAGCTGATCAATGATTCTCATCATTGATGTTTCTTTGCCTAGCTCTCCCTTTCTCTCTAAAAACCAATTTTTAAAATCGAAAATAAATAAAAAACTGTTAATTAAAAATGATCATTTTTTAAAAGAAAATTTTAAACATTTAATTTATGAAAAACCCACTAAGTTAACATCACATTTTCATGAAAAATAACTATATATTTTTTTAAATTAATGAGCCCTAACCAATATGGTATGGCTCAGTTGGTTAAGTGTAGTTCTATGCATTAAAAGGTTGCAGGTTAATTTAAAAAAAAAAGAAAGAAAAAGAAAAAAGGTTGCAGGTTCAATTCTTGGTCAGGGTACATAACCAGGTTGCAGTTTTGGTCCCAGTGGATCCATGTTCTCTCACATCATTGTTTCTCTTTCTCCCTCCCCCTTCCTCTCTCTAAAATCAGTAAAGATGCATATATATGTATTTGAAAAACCATATGAAAAGAGGATGTTAAATAGATTTTCGCAAAGTCTTTAATGTCTAACTGATTAGAAGACAACTGATATTTATTTTCAGTATATTTTGGGTTAAGTCTATGAAGAAAGTCTAACAAATAGTTTTGAAAGGAGGAAGGATTTTAAGATAATTATATATGCGTGAGTGTGTGTGATTTTTTATTTATTTTTTTTTTTTTTTACAGAGAGGAAGGGAAAGCAATAGAGAGAAGCATCGGTGAGAGAGAAACATCGATCAGCCGCCTCCTGCACACCCCTTATAGGGGACATGCCCTTGACTGGAATCGAACATGGGACCCTTCAATCTGCAGGCCAACACTCTATCCACTGAGCCAAATCAGTTAGGGCAAGATAATTTTCAAATAGTTGTGGATATTATTCTATACCCAAACTCAACAAATGATTGTGTGTGGGGTTTTTTAATAGTTTATTTTTTTAAGGTCTGATGTATAAACCGTAAGATATGCTTATTTTAACTTAAATTTTATAATTCAATCATGTTTAGTACATTTAGTAGATTATAGAATTACACAACCATTACTGATACATTTGCATCACCCAAAAAAGACCCCTGTTGCCCATTTGCCATCCCTCCCCATTCCCATCTCCAGCCAACCTAATCTATTCTCTCGTATAGATTTGCCTTTCTACAAGTTCCATATAGGTGAGATGTCACAATATATGGTCTTTGTGACTGGCTTCTTTTATTTAATATACACTTTTTTAGTTTTATTTATGTTGCAGCTTGAAATACTTCTATTCCTTTTTCTTTTAATATATTTTTTATTGATTTCAGAGGGAGAGAGAAATAGAAACATCAATGATGAGAGAGAATTATTGATCAACTCTTATTTTTTATTAAGAGTTTCATAGTCCCACACTGGGGATTGAGCCTGCCCCCCAGGCATGTGCACTTGACCAGAATAAACCCGGGACCCTTCTATCCAAAGGCCCACACACTATCCACTGAGCCAAATCGGGTAGGGCACATCCAAATCTTTGTGTGGGTGTGTGTTTATTTCACTGGGGTATATAACAGAGTGTGAACTATATAATAAATTTATGTTTTGAGAAACTGCCAGAGTAGTTGCATCTAGTATAAGGGTTCTAGTTTCTCCCTATCTTTGTCTCATTTATTTTAGCCATACTAGTGGTTACCTCAAGGCACCTCACTGTGGTTTGGGCGGGCATTTTCCTGATAAGTGCTAATGTTCACCATCTTTTCAAGTGCTTAATGGACATATATTTATCTTTTTGGTAAAATATCCAGATCCTATGCCTGTTTTTAAAATTGGGTTGTCTTATTGAATTAGAGTTATAGAACTAGATATAAGTTTCTCAACAGGTACCTGATTTACAAATATTTTCTCTTGGTATTAATATGTGGCCTCTGCTTTCACTTTACTTTATAGTGTCTTTTGAAGGGCAAAAGTGTTGAATTTTGATAAAAAGATAATTTTATCATTTTTTTTTTAAGTTGCTTGTGCTTTTGTATCTAAATAATCATTGCCTAACTTGAGGTCACAAAAATTTACTCCTATATTTTTTATTAAGAGTTTCATAGTTTTAGTGCTTACATTTAGGTCTGTGATCATTTTTAAATTAAGTTTCATTTATGGTGTATGGTAAGGGTATATGTTTTTTTGCATATGGATATCCAAATGTCCTAGTGCCATTTATTGAAAACTGTCCTTTCCTCATTGAATTGCCTGAGCACCTTTACCAAAAATCAGTTGACACCCTGCTGATATGGCTCAGCAGTTGAGCATCAACCCATGAACCAGAAGGTAAGGTTCAATTCCTAGTCAGGGCACATGCCCAAGTTGAGGGCTTGGTCCCCTAGAAGGGGGTATGCAGGAGGCAGTGGATCAGTGATTCTCTCTTATCATTTATAAAAAGCATTTATGTTTCTATCTCTCCCTCTCCCTTTCTGAAATCAATAAAAAAATATTTTTTAAATCCGTTGTGAGGGTTTACTTCTGAATACTCACTTCTGTTCCATTGATCTCTATGTGAGTTCTTACGCGAGAATCACATTGTCTTGGTGACTGCAGTTTTGTAGTTAAATTGTGAAGTTAGAAAATGTAAATTCTCTTTTCTTTTTTTTTAAACTATTTTGACTAATCTGTGACCTATGCATTGCCTTATGAGTTTTAGGATCCACTTCTCAATTTTTTACAAAAAGCCAGCTGGGATTTTTGTAGAGGTTGCAGTGAACCTATAGATCAATTTGGGGAGAATCGCTATCTTTACAAAGTTGTTTTCCAGTCCACAAATACTGTTTCTTTGTTTATTTAGATTTTTAACTTCTCTTGGCAATATTTTGTAGTTTTCACATGTCTTACATTCTGTAAATTTTTTCCCTAAATATTTTCATGCTGTTGTGAATAGAATTTTCTTCAGTCGTTTTCAAATTGTTCATTGGTAGCCTGTAGAAATATAGTTAATTTATCTAACGATCTTATATCTTGCAACCTTGCTGAACTCATTTACTAATTATACTACTTTTTCTGTAGATTCTTTAGGACTCTGTGTGGTTTCCCTAAGATTTTCCTACATATGCAGGATTATGGCATCTACAAATCAAGACCATTTTAGTTCTTCCTTTTCTATCTGAATTGTTTCTTTCTTTCCTGATTACACTAGATAGAAACTCCAGTACAGTGATGAGAGCAGACATCCTTATCTATTTAGTCTTACCTTTAAGTTAGTTGCAGGTTTTTCATATATGCCTATTACCAGGTTGAGAAAGTTCCCTTCTGGAACTAGTTCATTGGAGTTTTTATTATGAGTGGTTAATTGCATTTATCAAATACTTTTGCTATGTTTCTTGAGATGATCATGTGGTTTTTGTTCCTTATTCTGTTAATATGTAATTCTTATTACATTGATTGATTTTGTGGTCATTCCTTAAAGAGGTTAGTTGTTATGTGGAACCTGAAATCATATCAGTCAACTTTTTGTACTTTGTTACCTTAAAATCTTTTGGTCTGTCTTGAACTTTGGATCTTTTAAGCATGCATAGTTTTATAACATGGTTATTTGGAAAATAGTGGTTCACTGAATTTTGCAGATTTTTTAAATGCTGACTTATTTCATCTATAACAAAAATCCTATTCGTTCTGATCTCATCAGAACAATATTAAGTACTAGGAAGTTACCAAGCTCACAGTGGTAGATACAAGTTTTCTCAATTTAAATTTTCTCTCAAAAAGTTTAATATTATCATTGACAACAACTACTGTTGTTTTCCTCGAAATGACAGTTCACTTAGTTTATTTTTAAGAAAATGTCTACTCAGGTACCTAAGTCTCAATAACCATAGTTTATCTGTTTCTTAAAGTAAAGAATTTATTCCATTAAAAATGTAGCTAGTTCAGCTCACATCTCCAATAGTCACCGGTGTTTTTCTTTGAGACCACCATCATATATACATTAATGCCATGCGTACTTCTTCATTTCATCCCATAAAATATCAAAGACATATATTGGGATTAAGATTTAATAAAATAATTTGTACTACTTCATCAAGGACATTCCTAAGTGAAAGTGGCCTTTTCTTTTCTTTTCTTTTTTTCTTTTAACCACAAGTGTGTAGCCATAAAGAATAAAATAACTGCCATGGTTAGTGTGGCTCAGTTGGTTGGGCATTGCCCCTTACATGGAAGGGTTACTGGAATTGTGGCTTTATTCCCTGTAAGGGCATGCAGGAGGCAGCCAGTAGATGTTATGCTCTCACATCAATGTTTCTCTTTCCCTCAGCCTTTCTCTCTCAAAATCAATAAAAAATAATACTTTTGAAAAAGAATAAAGTAGCCAAAACCGATTTGGCTCAGTGGATAGAGCATCGGTCTGCAGACTGAAGGGTCCCAAGTTCGATTCCGGTCAAGGGCATATACATTGGTTGCGGGTACATCCCCGGTGTGGGGTGTGCACGAGGCAGCTGGTCGATGTTTCTCTCTCATCGATGTTTCTAGCTCTCTATCCCTCTCCCTTCCTCTCTGTAAAAAAATCAATTTTATATATATATATATATTTTTTTTTTTTTTTATTTTTAATAAAGTAATTACTTTGTAGTTCGTGTGCCTCTGCCTTGATTTGTGGTAAGATAGCAGTTTTACCCATCACTTTTTTAACCATCTGCAAATATCACCACAGTGAAAAGGGCGAATCACATTTTAGTATTATTATGAAAATAGTTTTGACTTTGCATATCCTTTTAAAGGGTCTTAGGATCCCCGTGGGGTCTGTGGACCAGTCTTTGAGAATCACTATTGTGTACCATGCCCAAGTTTGTCTTTTTATGCTAAATTTTTGCTTATTGGTTACCTCACTTTTGTTCCCCAACCTTTTGTCCTTGAACTATCCTGCGTAATTTTCTATTGCATGATCAAGCTTTTGCTTTGCTATTTTCCTATAGGATTAAAAAGGCTGTTTATTATTTTTATAACTGCTCCATTTTTCAGATTTAGATAAAGGAAGTATTCTCAAAAGCCATCCTAAGTTATTGGGAGCTTAACAAGTTAACCTGCTTATTGGGTTAGAGCTGTCTCTCTCTCTGGGTTAGAGTAGCCATTGCTATTTTAGGTTGGATGGAGGGGTAGATGGAAAGTGAAAATATTCAGAGGAGGGTTGGGACTCCTCAGTTAGATAGAATACCTGATAAGTGAGAAGAGAAAGTCCCTAACCTGACAATTTATTGTAAAACATATCTGTGCTAATGCAGGAACTCCGACCCACCTGGTGCAGAGGAGTCTTGTCTTGACCTGCTTTGGGAGAGTGTTGTCTTGATGCTTTTCTCTTCCTCCTTGGAAAACAGCTGAAGAAATCAGGGGAGAAACCCCTGCTAGGTGGAAGCATGATGGAATACGCAATCTTATCTGCTATTGCTGCCATGAATGAGCCGAAGACCTGCTCCACCACTGCTCTGAAGAAGTATGTCCTGGAGAACCACCCAGGGACCAATTCTAACTATCAAAGTAAGACTCAGAGTTGTATGCATTTTACCAGGATTAGTGCATTTGTGAGAAATCCCTAGAGATCATGCTACTAATGACAAAACTACTGCCAACTGAAAACTAAGAGGGAACAACAACTTTACAAATTTAATTTATTTACAAAAAGAAAAACAGACTTAAGGCATATCCTTAACTTACAATGTTTGTTAAAGATCAGAATTTGTGCTTTGCTATAAAGATTATTTTTTTAATTTAAAAATATATATATTTAGCTGAAACCGGTTTGGCTCAGTGGTGAAGCATCGGTCTACGGACTGAAGGGTCCCAGGTTCGATTCTGGTCAGGGGCATGTACCTGGGTTGCAAGCACATCCCCAGTAGGGGGTGTGCGGGAGGCAGCTGGTCGATGTTTCTCTCTCATCTACGTTTCTTGCTCTCTGTATCTCTCTCTTCCTCTATGTAAAAAATCAATAAGATATATTTTAAAAAGATACATACATACATATATATATGGGAGAGAGAGAGAGAGAAACATCACTGATTGCCTCCTGCACATTCCCTACTGGGGATCCAGCACAACCCAGGCATGTGCCCTTGACCAGAATTGAACCCATGACCCTTGAGTCCGCAGGCCAATGCTCTAGCCCCTGAGCCAAACTGGCTAGGGCTTTTTCTGATATTTTTATAATTTAGATAAATTTCTAGGATCAAAACATCTCTCAAGTGCACTGTCTTGTGAATGTTGACCAAAACATCTAATTTTACCTTGAAACCAAACCAGTATTTTAAAATATGTTTTGTTGTGGGTTTTTTTCTTTTAATCCTCACTTGAAGATACGTTTAGAGAGAAGAAGGAGAGAGAGAGAGAGAGAACGTTGATGTGAAAGAGAAACATTGATCAGTTGCCTCCTGTACTCGACTTGTCTGGAGATTGAACCCACAACCTAGGTATGTGCCCTGACTGGGAACCAAGCCTGCAGTCTTTTGGTGTCTGAGACAACGCTCCAGCCAGCTGAGTCTCCCAGCCAGGCCTACTTAGGCTATTTTTTTTTATACTAACTCCGTAGCAGAAAATAATTTTTGGTAAAGTATATTTACCAAGTATGTGTCAGGTGATAATTTGTGACAGGAATCCTTGCTTTAGTAGCATTACCACATAAAGATGAGTAAGATAATACATTTTCTCAGTGAACTAATAGAAAAGTTTCACTGGTATAGGATGAAGAATGTGCAAGTTAAGTAACAGAAAATTCATACTAGAATATATTAAAGTAATTTTGAAGTCTTAATAATGGCTTTTTAACATATGTGCAATATGTGTATTTTAACATCATGAAGGAATGCTTTCTGGTAATTTTTTTCTTGTGTACTTTGGAAACTGGTTTGGTTTTTGTTTTTGTTTTTGTTTTTTAATATATTTTATTGATTTTGTACAGAGAGGAAGGGAGAGAGATAGAGAGTTAGAAACATCGATGAGAGAAAGTCATCGACCAGCTGCCTCTTGCACACCCCCTACTGGGGATATGCCCGCAACCAAGGTACATGCCCTTGACTGGAATCGAACCCGGGACCTTTCAGTCGCAGACCGACGCTCTTCCACTGAGCCAAACCGGTTTCGGCTGGAAACTGGTTTTTAAAATAAACTTTCCTTACTTAAGATATATTCTGTGTTTAATTGTGCAGTTGACCCTTATAGACTATTTCATAATTTTCTCTTGGCACAATGGTAGAAGATGAAATTGGTTACTAACTTTTTCAATTTCACTGATGCTGCTGTCTTTTAGACACTGAATCCTATAAAATACATTTTGATGTGTCTGTGTGAAAGATAGCAATAGGGAGGCCTTCAGGAGCCATGGTATTGTGCTGTTACTCTTTGCTATTGAGGAGAAATAGATTTTGTTTACCTTTATGGGTAGTCTTCTAGATGATTTTTAAAAAAATATATTTTGTTGATTTTTAACAGAGAGAAAGGGAGAGAGATAGAGAGCTAGAAACGTCGATGAGAAAGAAACATCGACCAGCTGCCTCCTGCACACCCCCCACTGGGGATGTGCCCTCAACCAAGATACATGCCCTTGACTGGAATCGAACCTGGGACCCCTCAGTCTACAGACCAACGCTCTACCACTGAGTCAAACCGGCCTCGGCTGATTATCTATTTTTATAGGTACTCGATAAATGTTTGGATGAGTGGAAATCCTATATAATAAAACCCTAACATGCAAATCGACCAAACGACGGAACGACCAGTCACTATGACACCAAGGCAACAAGATGACTCTGTTCTCCGGCCAGCCCTAGGGACCCTACCCTATATATTGGGAACAGTCTCTTAGATTTAAACATTAAAGCCTGGCAAGGCTAACACTGAAAAAAGGATGATGCAGTGATGACATACGTGGACTCTGGCTTGCACGTTTTGTAGTCAGCCCTGATTCTGACACTTATAACTGTGTGACAAAGCTAATTATTTAACTTCTCTCTGCTTCAGTTTTTCTACCCATGAGATGGGGAAAATGGTACTACTGCCTCAGAAGGATCATGTTATGTACTACTTTTTATAATCAGGGCAAAAAAATGTAGCTGCCCATACAACAGCATGATGCCTTTCACCTGTATGAAAAGTATGGTCACTGGTGCATGCAGTGCCCCAGATTGCGAGAGTGATGTCTGATTGCTGGTTTAGACGTGACATCCCCTGAGGGGTCCTGGATTGAGAGAAGGTGCAGGCCAGGCTGAGCCGGGGGGGGGGGGGGGGCACCTCCCCCCTCGCACAGATTTCATGCACCAGACCTTTAGTAGTCTTATGTCAGCTATTAACCATATACAAGGGTATAAACCTATTTTTGCACACCTCTGTGGGCAAGTCACCACTCTGGACTTCCGTTTCCTTTCTGTGAAATCAGGAATTGGACTAGGTGGTCTCTAAAATCTTTTTCATTATAATTGAAGTCTTGCCACATTATGGGTCTTAATAATTGTTTAGTGGGGGCTGGTGTGGGGGGAAAGAAAGTAAAATAAAAAATAATTGTTTAGTGAATTAGTTAATTCCTTTGACCACAAAGGATTCACTTAAAATAGCCAATTACTGTATATGACAGGACATTAAATTGATGAATAACTGATTGTGGTTGAGAGAATTTCCAAGTTGGTTTAATTAAACCACTTTCTTCATTTTTGAATTTTTTTCAGTGCATTTGCTGAAGAAAACCCTGCAGAAATGCGAAAAGAATGGGTGGATGGAACAAATCTCTGGTAAAGGATTCAGCGGCACCTTCCAACTCTGTTTTCCCTATTATCCCAGGTAAATGAACACCTAGCCCATAATATGAAGTATTGGTCATTGTAAATTTAAAATCTGATTATAGTTTACAGACTTGCTTAATTTATTTGACCCTTAGTACTATTGCTCTGAACTGAATATATTTGAAAATAAAGACTACTGAAGGCAATATTGCTTTAGATAAAAAGTTTTACATGTAAGAACAGAGGAATTTTGGCTATCCTGCTAGAACTTATTGTTAGCCACATGTTCCTGAAATCAGGTACTGAATTCTTTGTGATCCTTGGCAGTAATTTTGATGTTTATTCTTGCCTTAATAATTGATAATGACAGGAAGGCTATTAGAGGGTTTTAATTGTCCTGCATCAATCAAGTAGGGAAAACATTGGCTGCTTCCAAGAATCTTAATCTGCCTTCTCCATACAGTAGAGACAGGGACATTTACTTGAAAACCTGTGTTATCTATTCATTGAGCCAAAAAAATGTATTGAACACCATTGGGGCAAGCATTGTTCTATCACACCATGCTATATAGCCTTCTTATACTTATATTTCTAGTAACATTTCATGACATGTACCACAAAAGCCCTATTTTAGCAGGGCTTGCTTATTCTTTGTGTGCAAGAAAAGTGTTACTGGTTGAATGCATATTATTTTATATTTTCAAATATTAAACTTTAAATGAAATCTTACAGTCATACACATAAAATGTGATGAATCAACTTTATTGCCCTGGTCATTGTGGCACAGTTGGTTGAGCATTTGCCTGTGCACCAAAAGGTCAAGGTTGGATTCCTGGTCAGGACACATACCCAGATTGGGAGTTCAAGCCCCAGTCAGGATACATACTGGAGGCAACTGATCAATGTTTCTCTCCTTTTTTTTTTTTTTTTTTTTTTTTTTTTTTTTTAATATATTTTATTGATTTTTTTTACCAAGAGGAAGAGGGATAGAGAGTTAGAAACACCAATGAGTGAGAATCATTGATCAGCTGCCTCTTGCACACCCCCCACCGGAGATGTGCCCGCAACCAAGGTACATGCCCTTGACCAGAATCGAACCCAGGACTTTTCAGTCCGCAGGCTGACGCTCTATCCACTGAGCCAAACCAGTTTCGGCCAGTGTTTCTCTTTTACATCGTTGTTTCTCTCCCCTTCTTCTTTCTGAAATCAATAAAAATGTGGTTTTCTTTTTTGCTTGTGTTTCTTAAAGGATCAATTTTATTAAAAGTAAAGAGGAAGGGAATGAGGTATGACCTGGGACATTTACAGATTTGTCGTAACTTTGTGTGTTCAAAATAGGTTCAGTTGTAACCCAATACTTGTAACCTAACTTGATATCTTTGGGGAAGCTTGGAGAAAATGGGGGAATATCGGGAATATTCAGAGACAATGCACCTAGTTTCATGTTATCTTTTTTACCCCCATAGCCCAGGAGTTCTATTTCCACAGAAAGAGTCAGATGAGTCTCAAGATGAGGATGAGGATGAGGATGAGGAGGAAGACTCATCAGAAGAAGACTCTGAGGATGAAGAGCCTCCTCCACCTAAGAGGTGTGGATATGTGAAAACCAGCCTTCTCACATTCTCAGTGTAACATTTGTACTTGTATTCTTGAAAATTCAGAGGCTCTGAACTTAAGAAACGAAGCCTGTGAATGTGTAATTTACTCTTTGGTCAAGCTTGTAAATATATCCATAATTTATTTCTATTTTTTGGTTTTAAGTCCTCCCTTGAGGATATGTTTATTGATTTTAGAGAGGAAGAGTGAGAGAAAGAAACATCAGTGTGAGAGAAACATCAACAGTTGGCCTCCCTTATTAGCCCTGACTGGGGATTGAACTCCCAACCGGCATATGTGCCCTGACTGTAAATCGAACTTGCCACGTGTTGGTGTACGGGAGGACACTCCAACCGGTAGAGCCACCTGGCTGGGCTACATTTCTGTTCGTAGCATAAGTGTGACTTCTGTGTAGTCATTTCTTTTTTCGTGAAGTATCTGGTCTTCCTGGCAAAGTGCCTCTCTCAGGTGCTAAGTGTCTGCCTTCGCTGTTTCCCAGGTTGCAGAAGAAAACCCCAGCCAAGGCCTCAGGAAAGGCTGCAGCCATGAAGCAGAGAGGGGCTAAGCCTGTGCCCAAAGTCCCTGCTGCCCAGCGAGGGAAAGCCAGGCCCCTGCCCAAGAAAGCCCCTCCTAAGGCCAAGACTCCTGCCAAGAAAGCCAGACCCTCACCCTCAGTCATCAAGAAACCCAGCGGGGGCTCTGCAAAGAAGCCTGCTGCTAGTGCGCGAAAGGAAGTGAAATTGCCTGCCAAGGGCAAATCCACCATGAAGAAATCTTTCAAAGCAAAAAAGTAAATTTTATAGGCAAAAAGGGTATTGTGATGAAATTTAAAATCTTATTTTCTAAGGTCAGTGTGCATTTATTTTAGTTTTGATGCTTAAATTACATTTGTTCCCTCTCTGAATTTGCGAGGAGGGAATACAAATAAACCGGTTTAGGTATTTGTTCGCTTTAGGCGCTGCCCTGGGTGCCTGCTCTTTCCTTCAGTCATTTTAATTTCTGCGATAATTCTGGACTTTCCTGAACTGTATAATCTATACTTGTTCTTATTTCCCCTACACCCAACCTTTTTTTTTTTTTTTTAATGGTCAGTCTTGGCTTTTCTTACCCCTCCTAGTTTTATCTAAACAGTTGCAACGATTTTTATATCTGTAGAAGGCATGGAGAAGAGAATGCTGGTCAAGTCCTGGAAGTAGAGGGAGGCAGAGCAGCACTGACTGGACTGTAAAGCCCCTGCCTGGAGACTCCAGTTACAGCTATAATAGTTCATCTTATTTATAAACCACTCCACTAGCCCTTTCTCTCTGACTGTAAACACAGATGTCTTAGCTTTGGGAATAAGCCAAAAACGTGATCTCATAGATTCTGAAGATGCAGGACTCCTTTGGGCCACTCACTTTGATGATTTGCAGGTGTCTCACTGGCCCAGGGTATTGCATTCCCTTAACAGCAAGCACAAGGTCTCTCCACCACTTGGTTTTGGACTGAAGGGGAATATTAGAATATAATTTGTGATTTCTGGTGTTGTGTTAAAAAAAAATCAAAACATAAAATCAGATGTTGAAATATATTTTTTAATATTTGGAGCATGAATTCTGACTTCTTATTTGCCTTTTTATAAGGAAATGTTGGAGAGTTACATTGTTGCTAACGTAGAAATGTTAAGTGGGAAAACACAATTTGCGAAAATAAATTAGATTCCAGATTCATCTATGAGTTCTTTTCCCCTCCTTTCCACAGCACTTTCGATATCAAGCAAGTGGCTTCCTTTTTGAGATGTTGTGTTTGTTTTGTTTTTTAAAGAAATTAAATGAAGCCAAACTACCTAACCTCCTATTTGTGTTTGTTTTAGTATTGTGAAGTTGTGTTCAATAGTATTGGCTTTCTACTTGAAAAACATTGATTTCGGTTATCATTTATCTTCCCTGTGGCACTTGACATTTTTATTGTCTTAAACTTTTCGGTGTACATCTTCTGGCCCCGAGTGTTGCCAGAAGCCAAGAAGTTTGTTTTATCCATTCCACTGGCATTGTCTCCTGGGATCCTGTCTGCAGCCTGAAGTGTGGCTGGGAAATGGACTTGAGAAAGTTGAGTTGAATTAAATTCATAATTATGTGTGATCCCATCATGAGTTCATTGGAATTTGTGTTGCATGTAAGGCAATCTTTCCTGTTGTAAATCTTCCTTTTTTATGTACATATATTTTGAAAAATATGAATAAACATGAAATTTTAAAAGCTGCTGAATTGTAGCTTATATTTAAAAGTTTCTAGTATATTCTTAGAAGTAGCCAAGTATTTTCCATACTTTGAATCTTTTCTACTCTCGTAATACCTGCCATCAATTTCCTTTTTTTTAAATTGATTTTTTTTTCTTTCTTTTTGTTTGAGAGGGGAAGGGAGATAAACATCGATGTGAGACCAAACCACCTATTGGCTGCCTCCTGCACATGCCCTACAGGGAATCAAGCCCACAACCCAGGCATCTTCCCTGACTGGGAGTAGAACCAGCAACCTTTTGGTGCTTGAATGACGCCCAACCAACTCAGCCATACTCTAGTTGCTGTGCTTTCTAATTCTTATACGGATGGTAAATTATTTCTAAATATATTTTATTGATTTTTTTTACAGAGAAGAAGGGGGGTAGAGAGCTAGAAACGTCGATGAGAGAGAAACTGACCAGCTGCCTCTTGCACACCCCCTACTGGGGATGTGCCCGCAACCAAGGTACATGCCCTTGACCGGAATCAAACCTGGGACCTTTCAGTCTGCAGACTGATGCTCTACCACTGAGCCAAACCGGTTTTGGCATAATTTTTCTAGATATATTATCTTTGGGTGTTTATAAGAGATTTAAAATATTTTTTATTTTATGAAGGTCCTTGTTTTTAAGACCATAGATTCCAGTTTTTAATGCCTAATGTTCAGTTAGATCCTTGGACTAATTCTAGAAAGTAATCCTAATCTCTTTTACATTGTTCGGCAAGTTATTCTAATAGTATGGGTGTTAGGTACCTGTGCTAAGAATTCTCTATTTTTCTGGAATCAAAAGCAGGATTTTGGTTGATTTCTCTGTTTTATGATATTACTTTAAAAAAGATATCCTGAACAGGCAGACACCTGGTGACGGCATTGTCCATTAGATGCTCAAGATATTTATGCTGAGATAAATAAATGTTTGGGGATTTTTCCCCTCTAGGCATTCTAAAGGAGCAGAACGCATACTTTTTTACTTTCTTATGATAGAGAGGAAGACAGGAAACCCAAAAGATACTCCCAGCAATTCTAGCATGGATCAGTGGCTTCAGTGCTCTCCCCTAGTGGTTTACTGAGTCAATTACAGTGTTTCACAAACTCTTAAACCACCAACAAACTGCCTTTGATAAATGCATCTCAGAAAGTGCTGGGAGAAAGATTGTTGGCTGCTTCGCCTACTGAAAGACAAAGGATACTTTGCATAAAAATGTAGAGACCTGCTTAAACTGGTTTGGCTCAGAGGATAGAAAGTCAGCCTGAGGAGTGAAGGGTCCCCGGTTCGATTCCGGTCAAGGACATGTACTTTGGTTGCGGGCACATCCCCAGTAGGGGGTGTGCAAGAGGCAGCTGATCCATGACTCCCATCGATGTTTCTAACTGTCCCTCTTCCTTCCTCTCTGTAAAAAAGTCAAAATATATTTTTAAAAAGCTTCGTCATTTCGACGTATGTACATATGTGCTTTATGTTTTTTATTTATTTTCCACAAGTAAAGGTCGAATTATTTTTTAATTTTTTTTTTTTTTACTGTTTCACTTCATTACTGCTGTGTATGTGCTCCATGTAAGTGGTGTAGGTGCTTATGTAGGTGGGTTCTGGCTTTTGGTGAAAACCGCATTACGTCACACCACACCGTAGGAACAAATCCTAAGGACCTACTGTAGGTGGGGCCAGGTGGAACACTATTCTCGGATGGAGAGACAGTGGACATAGCCTGCAAGCCAAGTCTTTATTTTATAGTCAGATCCACGAAGGCAAAGCAGGGCATGGTCAAGGTGTTTACAATGTTCTTGCAAGTTTCAGATCTACTTAATTACATGCACCTGAGAACTCCATCAAATACCAAGCTTTATTTTGGCAGTACTTGGCGCACCTCCCAAAGCCTACATCACCCAGCCACCTGGGACCACAGGTTCGGACATAAGGTCAAGCTTACAACCATAGCCTTTGGCTGTAATTGTGATGGAAAGTCTTTGCCCTCCAAGCTGGGGCCTGTACGTGGCTTTGCCATGAGAGGCCCGTGCCTTCTCATTAGTCCGAGACTTGAACATGTCCACATGCTGTAGCCACTCTCCACAACCCTATGAGATGATCGTTGTCGATTACTCCTATTTTATAGAAGGGAAAGCAGGCACGGAGTGAGATTCAGAAACTTGCCCACGTTGTAGTAAGTGACAGCTAGAATGAATCCCAGGGACTGAATGCAGAGCCATCTCCGGCTGCTCTGCTCAACTATCTCCCTTTGGCAGTTTTTCAGGCTCGTGAATTCTCTCCTTACCCTGCAGCCCAGTGACTCCACGTTCTAGTCATGAAAAAGAAAGGGCTTAATTGAAAGGAGGATTTTGAAATGAGATGAAATTACTAAATTTGCTAATAAGAGTCATGACTTTGGTTTTAGGAACTCTGGCAGGAACTACTAGAATTAGATTTTGGATTTCTAAGCTGCCCTAAGTTTTTTGGGGGGACACTGCACAAGTGCGTGGCCATTCTCAAACCCTAGCCATGGGACAGGACACTTTCTGGCTTCTTCACAATGTGTCACAGGCAAATGTTTTCATTCACAGGGTGCTGATGCTTGCAAGAGCTTTTCCTCCAGGACCCGCAGCTTTTACCAGAACTTTTATGGTGCTAAGTGAGCAGCTTCCTCCCTCTTTGTAAACTGTGAACGTGTGCTTTAGGAGGCCTCCCCAGAGAGATTCCACAGTGGGGCTGTCTGACAACAAATTTTTTGGACATGATACCTGTTTAGTAATCATGAGCTGGAATATTAGAAATTCTTGCCCATATACTGATGATTCTGAAAGAAACCTTACTCATCCAGTCCCTCCTGTCTTTGCTTTGCTTTGCTCAGTACCAAAGGAATCTTACCCTAAAATCCAGAGGTGCACAACATTCTTGCTTATCCATTTTACTGATGAAGAACTTTCAAGCCTAAATCCCTTCTGTTATTTGTTAGTGTATTTAAATTTGCTAGTATGGTGTGTAGAACAAGTTCTCATCAATTCCAAACTAAGAGTGAATTCTGGTTCTGGAATGTCACTCAGCCCAGTCTCCTAACTGCTGTAGCTGTGGTAACTGCACAGCGATCTTTGGAGGCTGTGTCACAACCCGCTGCCACGGCCTTGGCCAAGCCTCTGCCTCTCCCTGAGCTTTGATTTCTTCTGAAAAACAAAGGGGGTTAGAATCCACAATCACGTCTAAGAATAGCCACCCAGAGACAATGTGAGATTACCAAGTCTCAAAGGTTGAATTATGTTCTCTACACTCAGGCTACCAGGCATTTTAGGATTTTGGAGTGGGGTTCAGGGGAGATGATTTTTCAAAATAAATGAACTAGAATGTCCAATTTTGCAAGAGTTCAGTTTTGTGGTTTAAACTACCATTTGTTAGAGTTTTCCTATTACTAGGCTCTTCAGTCACATTACCTCACATCCTCACAAGTATTTTATAAAGATATGTGATATTATCCCCAATTTTCAGAAGCAATTACATTTAGCTGATTTCCCCAAATTGGACGTGTAGTAAGTGATGAGTTCACACCTGCACCTAGGCATTCACCTTTCCTCCACACCTTCCTTAGAAATTTTGTGTACTGACAGCTCAGGTAGTGGGGCATATGGCAACAAGGTACAAGAGGGTCGAACAGAGAGATCTGTGGGCTGTGGCTAGCAGATTTTTTGGTTATTTTAACATTTTTTTATTTTTTTTAATATATTTTATTAATTTTCTACAGAGAGGAACAGAGAGGGATAAAAAGCTAGAAACATCAATGAGATAGAAACATTGACCAGCTGCCTCCTGCATACTCCCTACCGGGGATGTGCCCACAACCAATGTACATGCCCTTGACCGGAATCGAACCTGGGACCCCTCAGTCCACAGATCGCCACACTATCCATTGAGCCAAACTGGTTTTGGCTATTTTAATAGATTTTAAAATCAAGTTTCAAACTGCTAGGAGTTGACTTTTTTAAAAGTGAGCAAGAGAAAGAAGAAATGGATATAGTGTTAAGTTTCAAATACCAGGGAGCAGGAGAGCAGAGAAGCCCAGTGGGTAAGAGACAGGAGTGCTTTATAAGCTGGGGCCTTCATGCTGAAACCGGTTTGGCTCAGTGGATAGAGTGTCGGCCTGCGGACTGAAAGGTTACAGTTTCGATTCCGGTCAAGGGCATGTACCTTGGTTGCAGGCACATCCCCAGTAGGAGGTGCACAAGAGGCAGCTTATGACTCTCTCATCATATGTTTCTAACTCTACTCTGTATTTCTCTCCCTTCCTCTCAGTAAAAAAATCAATAAAATATATTTAAAAAAAAAAAAAAGCTGGGGCCGTCAGGCGTAGGTAGCCATCAGCTGTCACCTGGGCCATGCCTGGGGCCTCAGCTGGCTGTGGATCAAGAGTGGCTACAGGGAAAACTGGCCACTGGATGAGCAACCTTTGCTTTTTAATCTCCGTTAAATATTGTGACCAGTTTATAGTTTGCAACATAAGTGTAATTTTAGATAGTATTCGATGTTAACTGCCTTTCTTTACTTTCTAAAAGGTATCCCTAGACTCATATTTGTTTCTGGCAACAGGTCTCTAATAAGTGTTTCTGAGAAGGGGTCCTCTTTATTTTTTTATTTTAAATATATTTTTATTGATTTCAGAGAGGAAAGCAGAGAAAGAGATAGAAATACCAGTGATGAGAATCATTGATTGGCTGCCTCCTACACACCCCCTACTGGGGACCGAGCCCACAACCTTGGGCATGTGTCTTTGATCAGGATCGAACCGGGACCTCCTGGTTCATAGGTCGATGCTCAACCACTGAGCCATGCTGGCGGGGCAAAGGTATCCTCTTTAGACCTGTTCTTTCCAGTTGGGAAAGAACCAAGACCCATTCCTTGTTCCCCAAATGGGGTACAGGTTGCAACAAGATAACATAGTGCCAGTTTCTGGGGCACCCTTTGTATTCTAAAGCATTTGGAGGGAATGCCATTAAATTAATGGTAACATTGAACCAAATGGAACGGAGTGCAAGATTGCCAAAACCGGTTTGGCTCAGTGGAAAGAGCATTGGCCTGCGGACTGAAGGGTCCTGGGTTCAATTCCAGTCAAGGGCATGTACCTTGGTTGCAGGTTCATCCCCAGTGGGGGGGAGGGGGTGCAGGAGGCAGCTAATCGATGTTTCTCTCACATCGAAGTTTTTATTATAGCTTTCTATCCCTCTCCTGTGTAAAACTGAATTAAAAAAAAAAAAAAGATATCCTAGAAACAAAGCAGCAGCAGCAGCACTTTCGTCTCCACCAGGTGGTCCCCAGGGATGCACATTCACTCTCAGAAAACAGGACTGCCCTCCAATGACCCCCAGCGCCAAGGCGCCTGCGTCCCCTTTGGAACTAACAGCGCGACCTCAGGCAAGATGCTCAATCACAGCTTCGCGAGTGGGAAGGTGAGAGTCGAACTAGATTGCATTTCTCGGACCCTCTAACCTCCACACCCCTGGAACCAGAATTCCCCAGGAGGTAGACTCTGACCCTGCGGTGCTGTGGTCTGCTGTTGGGATGGATGAAAAGGAATCTTGCTGTAATCACTATATCAGTCTGCTCATAACAGTTATTTTCTCACAATTCTGGGTCTTCAAGTCCAAGTTCAAGGTGTCAGCAGGGTTAGTTCCTCCTTCCGAGGGCTGTGAAGGAAGGACCTGTTCCCAGCCACTCTCCGTGGCTTGTGGATGGCCGCCCCCTCCCCGTGCCTTCCCATCGTCTCCCCCTGGAGGTGTCTGTGCCCAGGTTTCCTCTCCTGTAAGGACAGCGGTTATACTGGATTAAGGCTCACTCTAAGTCAGCTCATTTTAATTTGCCTCTTCACAGGACCCTCGCTCCAAATAGAGTCACCTTCTGAGGTACGAGTGGTTATTTCTCAACATATTGAGTGGGGAGGTGGGGACACAATTCCACCCATAGCACATCTTAGAATTGTTTTAAATTTCCATTCTAGCTGAAACCGATTTGGCTCAGTGGATAGAACGTCGGCCTGCGGATTGAAAGATCCCGGGTTCGATTCCGGTCAAGGGCATGTACCTTGGTTGTGGGCACATCCCCAGTAGGGGGTGTGCAAGAGGCAGCTGATTGATGTTTCCCTCTCATCGATGTTTCTAACTCTCTATCCCTCTCTCTTCCTCTCTGTAAAAAAAAAATCAATAAAAAATAAAAAGAATAAAAATTTCCATTGTAGGTCACTTATTTTGGGGGAGCACTCGGGGTGCGTTTCAGGGACAGCCATGAGGAGAAACCTGGGAGAACGGAACGATGCGCTCCAAGTTGAAAGTAGGTCTCAGCACGGGAAGGTGTTGCTGAGGAGGCGGAGGGAAGCGTGTGCTGTAAGAACCAGGTGTGTGGGGCGCTGAGCCCAGGCCTGTTCCGAGCACCCGCCTCAGCGCTAGTTCTCAGTCCCTGGCTTTGAAAGGATGTGATGTTACATCCCACTCACATGTGTCAGCTGGCAACCCCGGTGCCAGATTTCTCTGGGATTTCTCAGAAAAGGGCAAACTGTGATAGCAAGCTCACACCTGTGTGCTTTAGTCACTGCCATTGACTCATCCGGAAATGCCATGGCACGGCCATGGGTCCTAACATGTTCAGAGATCACTCTCCCACCCCCCACCCCCACCCCAGCTTGCCTCTTCTGTCCTTCTAGGTGACTTCTTAGGGCTTCCTGCAAAAGTGAGTCATTCATCTAAGGGTTGACATTCTGTACCCGGCGGTGGCTCCCGAGAGCCGTGTTGTCAGGACCGTGGGATTAGATAAATGGGGCAGATAACGATGCCGCAATGGCTGTCCTAGGCTGCCGTCCTGAGTGGGACCAGGTTGGCTTGCCCAGGAGATGGCTGGCACCCACTGGAGTATGCTTCCTCTGATGCAGACCGCCGAAGTTCTACATCGAAAGCATCATTAGTAAGTCTACGTGCATGGCAGAAGCTCAGAGTTTCTGTGCTTTCAGTGGAATTAGATCAATCGAATTTGGTAACCTAGGGAAATAGCTCGCCTGGGCAGTTATACATTCCTTTGATACAGAAATAAAAATGGAGGAATAAACGTCAAGTGTGAAATTCATTTGGTTTTGAAACACTGTATTCCTATGTGGGGGGTGAAGACCAATAAAAAAAGGAATCCTTGCTGAAACCGGTTTGGTTCAGTGGTAGAGCGTCGGCCTGCGGACTGAAGGGTCCCAGGTTCGATTCCGGTCAGGGGCATGTACAGTGGTTGCGGGCACATCCCCGGTGGGGGGGGTGTAGGAGGCAGCTGGTCGATGTCTCTCTCTCTCATCGAAGTTTCTAGCTCTCTATCTCTCTCCCTTCCTCTCTGTAAAATATCAATAAAATATATTTTAAAAAATAAATTTTTAAAAAAAAGGAATCCTTGAAGGTAGTAAAGTCAAGAGTGAATGTCACATACCTCTGACACACATTCATCTTTCCAGAACTGTTTTTTTTTTGTTTGTTTGTTTGTTTTAAAATATATTTTATTGATTTTGTACAGGGAGGAAGGGAGAGAGAGAGAGAGAGAGAAACATCGATGAGAGAGAGTCATCGATCAGCTGCCTCTTGCACACCCCCTACTGGGGATATGCCCGCAACCAAGGTACATGCCCTTCACCGGAATCGAACCTGGGACCCTTCAGTCCCCAAGCCGACGCTCTATCCACTGAGCCAAACCGTCTCGGCATGGTTTTTGTTTTTTGTTTTTGTTTTTTGTTTTTTTGTAAATCTCTGTATCCCTAGTACCTGCCACTCAGATCTTGACCCTCTATCCCTTTTTCCTGAGACAGACTTAGAAGGCAGAATTATCCCTTTGGTTTGAACTATATCACTATCTGAATTTAATTCCTGTCTCTTTTTTCCCTTTTAAAAAAATGTTGACCTGAAACAAATTCTGGTCACTATTTTTAAAATATATTTTTATTGATTCCAGAGATAAAGGGAGAAGGAGAAGTAGAAACATCAATGAATGATGAGAGAGAATCATTGATCTGCCTCCTGCACGGCCCCTACTGGGGATCGAGCCTGCAACCCGGGCATGTGCCCTTGACCAGAATCAAACCCGGGACCCTTCAGTCTGCAAGCTGATGCTCTATCCACTGAGCCAAACCAGCTAGGGCTCCTGCCACTATTTTAAAAACTGCATGCAAAAAAAATAAAATAAAATAAAAACTGCATGCATCAGAAACTTGTGAGAGCCAGGAGTTAATAGAATTGTGGCTGTGTTGTTTTCTCTGTAATGTCTCAGAATGGACTGTGAATCTAGTAATGGGCAAGTCCTCTGTTTGAAATGTTTAGGAGGCTGGTAAGAAGTATCCTTTATGTACACTGAGCTTCATAAATGGGGATTTTTGGAGAGCAGGACCATCTTGTAAACCATCTTGATCCTTCTCATTCCTGGGCTCAAGGCTGTTACATGGCCTCCTCACGGAAGGGCTTCCCAGAGCCCCTGGCATGTGGGACTCCATCAACACTTGCCATTCACTGATGCACAAAAGACACTTAAGAATAAACGCACAGTCTAATGCCAGCTAATATTTACTGAGCACTTCACTTACTGTGGTGTGGTATGGGGCTGGGATTGTGCCAAGCACTTGGCCACAATAACTCATTGGAATCCTCCTGGCCTGTGAGTCAGGTGTTAGTAACACTTTCAGGAGAGACACTCCGGGAGCCAAGTGATTAAGGTGTTTGCCTGCGGTCCCACATTTGGTGGATGAGAAGTGCAGACTCGGGACCACGCCTGTAACCATAACCCCTCACTCTGGAAGGCACTCAGAGGCTCCCGGGAGGCAGAGGGAACGCCTGGTCCCCGGGCTTGGCTCAAACCTGCCTCCTTCCGGACTCCCCTGAGGTCCTCAGACCCAGGCCAAGGCTCTCTCCGCCAGGGTGCTCCCCTCAGCCTTTGCTCCTCCACTGGACCGAGCACCTGTGTCCTGGCTTTGCCGAGGTGTGTGGCAGCTGCCGGTGTCTCCTCTGCAGAGTTCAGGTGAAATGCACGTGGAACCAGGTTTGGCACCGGAGAGCAGGATGCCTGGCCTGATGGGAACCAGAGTGCCCTCCTGCTCAGAGCGGTCACGGACACATCTGGCTAGATTTCCCCTTCTGAGTGGATTTCCCCATCCAGGGGGCTTTCTTGTAACCAAGGACAGGGCCACCGCCCACGTACAATGATCAGTGTTCATGAGGAGACTTCCTGACGCAGGTCCTGAGCCGGGCAGGCTCAGATAACGGTCTGGGAAGGGCTGGGGGGGAGGATGAGCTACCCCCGCCCAGCCCCAGGTGAGGGAAGGCAGGGTGGGGCTGGCCAGGCTCCCTAACCTCATTCCTGTGCTCTCAGCTCTGCCCTTCGCCCTGGGACGGACCCTCCTGACCAGAACGGCTTCCCTCTGCTTAGAGGAGAGGGACGACCCGCTAGAGGCGAGGGCCCCGCAGGGCGGAGGGTCAGCCTGGTGGTCAGGGAGGGCTTCCCGGAGGAGGCCCGCGGGAGCAGATGGAGGGACGGGGGGGGGGGGGGGGCTGCCCAGGGGGCGGGGCGGGAAGGGCTCTCGGCGAGGCTTTGGGCGCGGGAGACCCCAGCCCGGAGAAGAGGCGCCCTCGGGGGCGGGGACTCCACACCCCAAACCCCAACCCTTAAGGCGGGGTGGGGGTGGGGCCGGGACCGAGCTGGGGGGGCGGTGCCAGGGCCCCTCGCGGCCGCTGATTGGGCGGTGCGGCCGAGCGGAGCCGCTCTGCGGGCGCTGATTGGTGGGTGAGGCCGGGCTCCGCCGCCAGGTGGTCCGAACCGGGTCTCCGGCCACGTGGGGCTCCGGGGGCGGCGGCGGCGGCGGCGGCGGCGGCGGCGGCGACTGGACCGAGACGGCGGCCGCGGTGAGTGCGCGCCTGGGAGCCGGGAGCCGGGGGCCGGGGGCCGGGGGCCGGGGGCCGGGGGCCGGGGCCGGGGCCGGGGCAGGGACAGGGGTCGACGGGGGCCGGGATCGTCCTCCAGCGCAGAGAACGGGAGGGTCTCCGGGGCGAGGAGCACCTCTGCCCCCTCCCTCCATCACCACCACCTTCACCTTCACCGTCACCACCACCGTCACCTCTGCCCTCCCTCCATCACCACCACCTTCACCTTCTTCACCGTCACCACCACCGTCACCTCTGCCCTCCCTCCAGCACCACCACCTTCACCTTCTCCTTCACCGTCACCACCATCGCCTCTGCCCTCCCTCCAGCACCAGCACCCCCGTCCCCCGCGTCCCCCTCCGCGCCCGCCCCGCTGGCCCTCGGGGTCCGGGCGCCCTCGCCGCGCTCCCAGGAGTCACCCCCGTGGGAACCGACCCCGCATGGAGCCCCCGCCCCGGCCCCTCCGCGTCCGCCCGCCTCACCCCGAAAACAGCGCGTTCCGCTCGGGGCGGTGTTCGGAGAGGCCACCCTGGACCAGCGGTGTCAGACAGCACCCTTCCCTCCGCCGCACCCTCCCTTCCCCCTCCTCCCCCTCTGTGTTTCCCTCTAAATCACCCCCACCCGGCCCCGTGCCCCTCCAGGCTGGGACCTGTCCCCCCGACCCAGTCCCGCTGGGAAATAGTCCCAGAGAAACCAGTGCCCCCAGGAGGTGGCTGCCGTTATTTCCCGGATTTACCGGTGAGGGAGCGGCTGGAGGTTAGTGACTTGCCCAAGGTCACCTCCGCCAGCCTGTGGGACCACAGCCCAGGGTCTCCGTCTCTCTCCTGGGGCCCAGGGCAGGTGGGGGTGCACTGGAGGGTGTGCTAGATCCGGGGCTCACCGGTGCAGCTGAGCCCGAGGCAGGGGGGTGGGGTGTGAAGCCAGTGACTGAGGGGCCCTGGCCGCCCCAGACCATCTGGCGGGTAGAGATGGAGCTGCTTTTCTGCTGATGCCGCCAGCCCCCCAGCACCTGAGTGTGACAGCCGCTGGAGAGGCTGGGACCCGCCACACAGACACCTGCTCGGGGAGGGGAGTCAGAAGGGCACTGCCGGGCCTTGAGGAAGAGCCCCAGAGCCCTGGGTTTGCTTCCACACCTGCCCCCTCCCCCCGCCCCAGTACCCCAAGACCTTGGGCCAGTGACTTCACCCCCTGAGGGACTCTGCTGAGCCCAGACTCTGCAGGCTGAGTGGGGTCCCAGCAGCTGGAGGGGTGCCGTGGAGCAGGGCCTCTGCCCTTGAACCCTCTCCACGAGCCAGCCCACCCAGCCCGTCTCCCAGCAGGGCCACCCGGAAACCCCGGAGCAAAAGAGGAGCCCCCCTCCCAAAGGCGGCCCCTCAGAGGGGCTGGCCCGCCAGGCTCCTGTGCAAACCTCAGCGAACACAGGTCTGGCCCAGGGGGAAGCGGGTGTTGGTGCCTGGACCAGGCATGCAGGTCAGTGAGCCTGGGACCCCGGACAGCCCCCAGCTCCTGGCCTGAGGCTGAAGGGCCCCTCAGGCTGGGAAGGGAGGGAGAGAAAGGGAGGAACTTCAGTCTCCAGGGAAGTTTCCAGGCGATCATGGCTGGGGTGGGGCTATGCGAGGGCCAGTGGCGGGAGTGGGCATCCCCGAGAAAGCTGTTCCCAGCCAGACAGCTGTCTCGGTGTGTGCGGGAAGGCGTCTGTCACTGTCTGAGGGGCTGTCAGCACCGGAGAAGCGTGCTCTGTGCCTCTCCCTCCTCCATCCCGCCCTCATCTCGTCTTTTATCTCATCCCTCACGCTTCCACGCCTGCAGCTGCCTTTTCATCCTCCGTTCTCTCTCTCTCTCCCTCTCCCTTTCGCCCGCTCTGTTTTCGTCGTTGCCTCCTCCGATCCTCGCCGCCTTGGGGTGCGGGGCACCGCAGCCCGTGGTGCTGTGAGGATGAGGTGGAAAGACCAGTTAACTGGAAGCCCCCCCCCCTCCCCCCCCCCCCGTCCACGCCTGGAGCGGGAGCCGTGGCGTTGGTGCCCGTTACCCGGCTAACTTTGCTTTACTTACACGTAAAGGGAACAGGAGGTCATGGGCGTGATGTATAAAATGTCGGAATCAAAGTGCACGAGGATGTGGGTCCCGGGAAAGGAGCGGGCACCGGAGGGAGGAGGAGGGAGGCCTCGCAGGGATGGCACAGCCTTTGATTTCTGGCTCTGATGGCTGCTGGTGCCTCCGTTCTGGCCTGAGCCTGGGCGGAAGGTCACGGGCAGGCAGAGGCAGGGGCTGTGCCCAGCTCCCGGGTGGCCATGTCAGTTCCAAAGCACCTGAAGCCCCTTGGCCAAGGCCCCCTGCAGGCCGTAGAGCACCCCCAGAACACACCCTCTTCCTGCCCAGCACCCCGTCTGATCCCTGCTTTTTCCTGGCTGGAATTTGGCCCTCAGGCCGGCTCTCCTCCTGCCACGCCCTCCCAGGCTGGGTGACCTAGATCAAGCATGGCCCAGGGCAGGGAGGGCACTGCCAGGGTCCCACCCACTGTCTCCACGCGCCTCCGGAGCCTCCGGCTGTGGGCCTGCCATCCGTGAGCCCGGATTGTTGAGCATCAGCTCCGAGCCTGGCTGGCATCACCTGGGCGCCTGCTCCTCCCTCCAGTCCTCGTTGACTCCTCCTTGGCTCCTCGTTGGCTTTATTCCTGTTTGGGGCTGAGGACCAGGCTCAGAGAGGTGAGGAGGCTTGTCCCAGTCACCCAGGATTTGGACCCACATCACTCTGACCCCGAGCGCCGTGATTACAGGTGGGCTGCTGACAGAGCCGGCTGGGGTCGCCCCAGGAGAAACGGAGGGCTGGGGCCTTGGGGACCCAGGCTGAGGCAGCCAGCCGTTCCCGGGAGCCTTTATCCCGCGCTCACCCAGCACCAGCTGCGGTCTGTGCTCTGGTGGGAGGGAGTGCTCTCCCTGCCCGGAGGACAGTCCCCGCCCTCCCCTCCTGCGAGTCTCCTCCTCTCTGGGTGGATTGGGAGCGGGGGCCCCAGGAGAGACCAGAACCTGGGCTGGGCTGGAGGTGGGGCTCCTCAGTCGCACTGTGTGGTGGGGGCTCGGGCCAGGGGCTGGCGTCAGGCTAAGCGGACGAGCTGGGGCACCAGCTCATCCCCCCCCCCCCCCCGAAGGCTCCAGAGCTCCTGTCCGGGACCTCTGTGGCTCCCGCTGCCACAGGATGGAGCCGAGTTCCCTGGCCCCAGCCTTCACTCTGGGCCTTTGCAGACTGGTCTCCCGCTGTCACACCCCACCCCCCTGCTCTTTGCCCAGCCCGGAGCACAGGGATCAATGTCCGTGGACGACGTGGACTGCCGCACCCCTTCCTTAGCTGTTTCCCAGCCTCACTCCCTTGGCTGCCGCCAGCTCCCGCGTTCCTGTCTTCCTCTCTGCCTTGGCAGCGCCCAGCACAGTCCGCGTCTTACCTCCCGATCGCCTTCCTCCCCCACGAGAGTGCTGGCTGCGTGGGGGCGGGACGGTTACTCTGTCCAGGTCTCTGTGCCTCGGTGTCTCCCGTGCCCAGTCCTGGCCTGGCACTGCACGTGGCCTTGAGAGTTTGCCCAGTGAAGGAGCTCCCTGGCAGCCAATGAGAGCCCGGGGCTCGACTGCCTGGGATCCAACCATCTGCCTTGCCCTTTGCAGCCTTCTCTGCCCGGGGCTGGAAGCTGGGCACCCTGGGGGCCATGCAGAAGGCCGGGGCCAGGGGCCGGAGGGCCTCTGACTGCGGCCCCGCCTCCCACCGGCCCAGGTGCATCACCAAGTTCGCCCAGGTGGGTGTCTCTGGTGGGCGGAGCCTGGGGGGGTGAGGAGGAGCTATGGGGAGGACCTGTTTCTGTGTCTTCCCTCCCTGATCCAGGCTCGGGAATGTGTGTGTTGGCACCGATGAGATGAGGCCTCGGGGGCTGAGTGGCTTGACCAAGGCCACCTGCTGGGAAGTAGCAGAGTCTGGACTCCGAGCACAGTGCTCTGTCCCTGCCACAGCTCACCCAGCAGAGCAGAGTGTGCCTGGGGGGGGGGAGGGATTGAGGATGGGGGTCAGGAGCCATATGCTTGACTTCCCGCCCTCCCACCCCACCCACGCCCAAGCAGTACGTGGGGTCCTTCTCCGTGGATGACCTGGGCACCCAGGAGGGCGTGTGGCTGGTGCAACAGCAGCTGTGGGCACTGAAGGTAGGAGAGCTGGGGGGGGGGGGCACTTCGCTGTGGGGGGTCCCCGCCTTGGAACGGCCCCTGGGACCATCCCTCTGATCCCCACCCCCAGCCACAGAGGGAGCAGGTGAGGCCCCGGAGGGAGGGCCGGAGCCATGCTGAGCCACACCCAGGCTCCTGGAGCCCATGCCCTCGGCCCAGGCCCTCTCCCTCAGCGGTCACAGTGTCCAGGGGATGGTCCTGGCTGTGGGGGGTGGTCCCGCCAGGGTCAGTCACCCACACTCCCCTGGCCCCTGAGGGTCCACTGTCCAGGCTCAGTCCCCTGGCAGGTGGGGGAGTTGGTTACCCACCCCTGGTGACTGGGACTGAGGCCGGGCTGGGCAGGCAGGGCCTGAGAGGTAACACCTGCCCCCCCACAACTCTTCCCCCAGGACTGTCCCCGGCGCCGGGCCGTCATCCTGAAATTCAGCCTGCAGGGCCTCAAGATCTACAGCGGGGAGGGCGAGGTAGGAGCCAGGGGTGCAGGTGAGGCCTGGGCAGGACAGGTGTCCCCCCTCAGGATGGACTTGGCAACAGTCTCTCATCCATCTCACCCCTGGCCCCGGCCCTCCAAACTCTCCAGGCCGTACCTCCCGGCCTGAGCATCAGGAACCCCAAGAGGTTTGGGCAAGTCCCTGGGCCCCTTCGTAGCCTGCCCAGTGGGCTGTGGCCGCCTCTCGTGACGGTGGAAGGAGGCCAGACTCAGGCTGGGGGCTAGGAGGCCCCCGTTCCTTCGCCCAGCCTCTCCCAGTGCTAGGCGAACACCGCAGGCCAGAAGTACACACTGGGAGGCTGGGTGCCGCTTCCTAAGACGGTGCACGTGGTGTCCCCGAGGTGTGCACCGGACGGGCCCGGGGCCACTCGCACGAGGTCTCATTGACCCCCCAGCAGCCCCATCACAGGGGGTTGTACCACCTGCCCAAGGCATGCAGAGAGGGACTGCAGAGCCAGGATGCACACCCAGCTCATCCGCCTCCGCGGCCAGGAGTGCACCCAGGCCTGCACCACGGCCTCTGCCACCCTGCAGGCCGGAATGCTCTGCCCCTCGGCTCCGGCAGGTTGGCAGAGGGAGCAGGAGGTTCAAGCCCAGTGGCCAGGGAAGGATGGGGGTTTCGGTTTGAGGCAGGGCTTGGGCAGGACTGGAAGGAGGGAGAATTCTTTACCCCAGGAGCTGGGTGGGCCCGAAACTGGGCGTGCAGGTGTGTGGGGCCCGCAGGGCTGGCACACTCTGGGCCGGCGCTGCAGGCCCGGTGGAGGGTCTCACGGAGGCCGTCATGCCCGCTGCCCCCCCAGGTGCTGCTGATGGCACACGCCCTGCGGCGGATACTGTACTCCACCTGGTGCCCAGCCGACTGCCAGTTTGCCTTTGTGGCCCGGAACCCACGGAGCCCGGCCAGCAAGCTCTTCTGTCACCTTTTTGTGGGCAGGCAGCCCGGAGAGGTACGGGGGCCAGGCAGGGAGCCAGCACTGAGGCCGGGGTGTGTGTGTGTGTGTGTGTGTGTGTGTGTGTGTGTGTTCGTGTGCGCTGGGCCTCAGCATGGGCTTCCAGGGCCCGAGGCCAGGGAGGACGTGGCCACGCTGCCCTGAGCCCCCCAGACCTGGGCCCATTGCCACACGGCTCCTTCTCTGGCTCTGCCTGCTGAGGACCCCACAAAGCAGGTCCGTGGCCTCGGATCGCCCGGAAGACTGGGCCACGCTTTGGGGATTGGAAGGTCCCCCTGCCACGCCTTTGCTCCTGCTGTTCTCTCTGCCAGGGTGCCCCTCGCCTCCCCATCCTGGCACATTCCAGCTTGCCCTTCAAGGCTCAGCCGAGTGTCTGTGCAGCACCCTCCCTGTGACAGAAACCTCACCCTGGCACCGGGGCCTGCCCCTAATCACAGACACGGAGTCCTTCCAGAGAGGGGCTGGGCCCGGCTCCAGAGTGGGCTCCAGGGAGCGGGCGGGCAGGCAGAGCCTGGAAGTCAAAGCCAGGGTGACCGCCGCGAACGACAGCCTCGGCAGCCAGCTGTCCGGCAGCTGAGGCTGGGCCTGGTTCCATCACCCCCGTGTGCCCAGCCTGTGCTGGCTCCTGAGAGAGGCTGAGCCATGGCCTCTGGTCTGGCGCCCACAGTGACAATGTGGGGACGTGTGTGGTGGGTGTGGTGGGCAGAGTGCTGGGCTTTGGCCCGGGAATTTTATTTTATTTTATTTTTTATTTTAATTTTATTTTTTAAATATATTTGATTGATTTTGTACAGAGAGGAAGGGAGAGAGATAGAGAGTTAGAAACATCGATGAGAGAGAGTCATCGATCAGCTGCCTCTTGCACACCCCATACTGGGGATATGCCCGCAACCAAGGTACATGCCCTTGGCTGGAATCGAACCTGGGACCTTTCAGTCCCCAAGCCGACGCTCTATCCATTGAGCCAAACCGGTTTCCGCTAGCCTGGGAATTTTACTCAAGGAGCACACGGAGGTGGGGATGAGGAAATGAGACCAGAGGCGCCATGCTCTGCCCGGGGTCACACAGCAGCTCCTAAGGGCCAGAGCCCGGATCGGGTGCCAGGTGCTGTGACTCCAAGGCCCGGGCTCTTAGCCAGCCTCTAAGAGGGTGCTGAGCCGGGGCACGGGGTGGGGGCATTTAGCCCAGGTATTCCAGCTGCAGGCACGATGCCTGGGACAGAGTAGGTGCTTGGTTCGGGGAGCTGCGTGGTGGTGAGGTTCTGAGGGATAAGTAGGTGTCCTCCCACTTACGGGAAGAGCGTCCCAAGCCAAGGAGTGGCATGGCCCTTTGGAGAGCGGGTTGATGCCTAAGTTAGCCAGGAGACCTCCCTCAACTGAGCCCTGCTCTTCCTCCTCTCCCTCCTCTTCCTCCTCTCCCTTCCCTCCCCTCCCTCCTCCCCTCCCCCTCCCCCCTCCCCTCCCCTCCTCTCCTCCCCTCCCTCCCCTCCCTCCTCTCCTCCCCTCCCTCCTCTCCCTCCTCTCCCTCCCCTCCCTCCTCTCCCTCCCCTCCCTTCCCTCCCCTCCTCCCTCCCCTCCCCTCCCCTCCTCCCCTCCCTCCCCTCCCCTCCTCTCCCCTCCTCCCCTCCCTCCCCTCCCCTCCCCTCCCTTCCCTCCCTTCCCCCCTCCCCTCCTCTCCCTCCCCTCCCTTCCCTCCCCTCCCCCCTCCCCTCCCCTCCCTCCCCTCCCCTCCTCTCCCCTCCTCCCCTCCCTCCCCTCCCTCCTCTCCCCTCCTCCCCTCCCTCCCCTCCCCTCCCCTCCCTTCCCCTCTCCAGGTCCAGATCCTGCACCTGCTGCTCTGCCGCTCCTTCCAGCTTGCTTACCTCTCGCAGCACCCCGCGGAGCGGGCACCACCGGAGCCCTGCCCGGGGCCCGCAGGGGATGTGCCCCTGAAGCCGCTGGCCAGCCCCGGGAGGCCCCCCGGCCCCGTCCGGGAGCCCTTCGCCCGGGATCAGCTCTCGCAGAACGTGCGGGCCCTGGTCTCCTTCCGGCGGTTGCCCGCGGAGGGGCCCGCGGGCAGTGGGGTAAGCAGCGCCCAACCCCGGCCAGGGAGTGGGCAGTGGACAGGGACCTGGGTGAGGTTTGGGGGGTCACGTGGAGGTGGTGCCGGGCATCAGAGGGGGGGCTCGCCTGACCTGACACAGCTGGACCTGACCTGCCGACGCCTCCGGGCCCCTCTCGGTCCCCCAGAAGGAGCTGCTGGAGCTGGAAGGCTGTGGGGGTGCCCGCCTCTTCCGCCTGGGGAACCCCTACTGCTCCCCCACCCTGGTGCGCAAGAAGGCCATTCGCAGCAAGGTGATCCGCTCCGGGGCCTACCGCGGCTGCACCTACGAGACCCAGCTGCAGCTGTCCGCCCGGGAGGCCTGTGAGTCCGGAGCAGCCTGCCCGAGGGCCTAGGCTCAGCCTGTGCACCCGTGAGAGTCAGAGGGAGTGGGCCCGAGAGTCTTTCTGCACGGCCTTGCCGGTGCCTCCGAGCAGAGGCCTGTGTGTGGCTGTGTGTCGTGTCCACCCCTGAGTGCGCAGGGCTCGCAGTGTGATGGTGTGGCTGTGGCTGTGCTTATCTGGCGGGGGTGTGCTGGGGTGTGGGGTGTCTTTCGGAGGCTGGATGTGTGGCTGCTGGCGAGGAGACGGGTGGGGTCCTAGGGCCTGTGGGGGTGAGGTGCGCTGGGTGAGGACGAATCCATCTCTCCCTCTGACTTCTGGATGGTCCCCACAGTTCCTGCCGCCTGGGAGGCGGGGCCCCACGGCCCTGGCGGCCCCGTGTGCCTGGCGGAAACGGAGGGCAGCCTGACCGAGAACATCTGGGCCTTTGCTGGCATCTCCAGGTAGGAGCGGCCTGGCCCGGCTGAACGGCCAGCCCCTGGGGGTGAGCAGAGGAAGAGGCTGTGGGGGCCCCTGTTCCTGGGGCCCTGACGTGTAGGTGCAGATTCCTGTGTAAGGGCAGGGCGTTCCTGCTCTCGGGCCAGAGCCTCCAGCATCGTGGGCCTCGGCGTCTCAGCTGGAAAGTGGGGATAATAAAAGGACCTTCGTGGCAGGGCTGGGGAAGGGTCCAGTGAGGTCATTCAAAGGACTGAAGACCTCAGCTCCAGGGGACAGCTCCCCAAATGTCAGGGCTTTCAAATGCTCCTGATCAGGTCTTGGACTTGCCAGTTAAGGACGCGCTAGAAACCTTTCTGAAAGGAGGGCTGAAGCTTCCCTCTGGAGGCCCTGTTCCTGGCAGGTGCTTTAAGATGGTATGGGCCCAGCCAGGTGGCTCTGTGGTTGAGCGTCGACCTATGTATGGACCAGGAGGTCCCAGGGTACAAGTCCGGGTTGCGGGCTCTATCCCCCATTGTGGGACGTGCAGGAGGCAGCTGATCAATCATCCCCCCTCTCCCTTCCTCTTTGAAACCGACAGAAGCTATAAGATGCTCTGGGGCTGGCACACCATTGCCTGGGAGCAGCCTGAACCAGGCCAGACTAGCGGGCCCACCTTCAGCCGCTCCCTCTGCCCCCAGGCCCCGCGCCCTGGCCCTGCTGCGGAGAGACGTGCTCGGGGCCTTCCTGCTATGGCCCGAGCCGGGCGCCTGCGGCCAGTGGTGCCTGTCGGTGCGGACCCAGTGCGGCGTGGTGCCCCACCACGTCTTCCGGAACCACCTGGGCCGCTACAGCGTGGAGGTAGCGGGAGGGCCGTCAGCCCCCCACTTGCCCGCGGGCCCCTCTCCCTTTCACTCCAGAGCCCGCCTCACCCTCATCCTAGTCCCCTGTTGGCTCTCTCTGGCCCCATCCCTTACGTATTTCCATCCAGCTCCTTAGTCATGGTGCCTGCTGCCCCCGCCCCCCACTGGTCCACTCAACCCCGCCTCTGCCTATGGGCTCGCCCTGGGCCCCTCTCTAGAGGCCTTGGGAGGGCACCCCGAGCAGAGTCTGGGGCCAGCATCATGCTTCACGTTCTGTGGGAAACTCGGGTTAAGCCTGCTTTCCCGCACCCTAACCCATCGCTTCGCGGGAGGAAGCTGACTCAGGGTAGGCTTGCTCAGCTCAGACAGCCTCTGAGCCTCCAGGTCTGGAGTCTCGAATGATCCCAGGTTTCCCAGGGCCCGGGAGGGGCGGGCCTTTTTAAGGTGCACCCTCACCTCCGTGCTCAGTGCCTCAGTCCCGGCCTGGCCCGGAGGAGAGGGGGAGAGGACATGGTGCCTGGCTGTGCTGGGAGCAGCCCCGGGAACTCACTAGAGCCCCTCTCTCCCTCCCTCCCACCCCCCAGCACCTGCCTGCTGAGTTCCCCAGCCTGGAGGCCCTGGTGGAGCACCACGCGGGGACCGCCCGCAGCCTCTTCTGCTCGCTGGACATGGGCCGCCTGAACCCCGGCTACGAGGAGCAGGACTGGGGGCCCGAGGGCAGGCCACCCCGGACACTCCGGCCCCTGGGCCATGCCAAGTCCGAGGCAGAGCTGCAGGGCCTGGGCTGGGGGGCCGGGCCCCACACCAACGGCCTCGTCTTCCCTGGTCCCTAGACCTCAGCAGGCCACTCTGTCCTTCTTCCACCCCCTGGCCGGTTCCACCCCGTCTCTCAGCCCCTTGGTCCTGCCTTCCACCACTTCACCGACTGGCGGAGCCCTGAGATTGGGGGTTCTCACTCCACATGTGGCCCCTGAGACGGCAGGGAGGGTAGCAGATCTCCAGGCTTCTGTGCACTTGCAGGTGGCTTGGTGCTCGCTCTCCGGGCTTCACTGGAGCTTCCTGGGGGGAGGAGGGGGCGGGAAGGTTATTCCCAGTGGAGCGGTAGCCTGTCCTAAGGAGGCCAGGCTGAGGGGCCGTGACTGGGAGTCTCTGGAGAGCGCCTGACGGAGGCAGCCAGACGCGGAGGGCGAGGTGCCTGGGGAGGCAGGAGCAGCGAGGTCTCACTTTGGGCAGAGGCCTGGGGTGAGCCACCCTCTCAGGAGAGACACAGATGACTCAGTGGAGCCTGTGGGCCGCACCCCGGCTGTGTTTCTCAAGTCCTCTGCGGTAAGGGAGTCTTCCCTTGAGTTCTGGAGAGCGGGCTAGGAGGGTGCAGAGGCCAGGGTGGAGGAAGGGCCGCCGCCTGAAGCCCCTGCGCGGGGCGGACACCTGTGTGCGGAGAGGGACGGGAGCCATGGGGGGAAAGGATCGCAGGGCACCGCTTGGGAAGGCTGGTCTGTACTCAAACCACAGGGTGTGATTCCTGCTCACGGGGAAGGCTGCCCAGCCTCACCCACTCCCCCAGGCACACCCACAGTGCATTTCCTCCTGCTGGCTGACGGGGGCGATAGCAGAGGGCTGAGAGCCCAGCTCAGCTTGCAGGCTGCAGTGGGTTTGGTGACTGCCCGGGAAGGCACCTGAGGAGGGGATGGCCCTCAGTGAGGCTCTGACTGGCTGTCAGGAGCCGCCGTGCCACCCTAGGCCAGCTCCATTGGGGGAGGGGCCGAGCAGAGCCCCCGGAGTTAGAACTGGTGTGGGCTCTGCCCCAGGGGCGTGGCCTCAGCGGACGGAGGGAGTCACGGAAAGGATGGTCGTCTGCAGGACGGACCCCTGCTGATTGGCAGGTGGACACAAATCTGCCAGGCTAGGGAGGAAGGTCACTGTGGGTGAATATCTTCTGGCTAAGATAAAGGCCTCGTCATGAATCTGGGGCTGCCCTCTCTCTCTCCTGGGAGTTGGGTGTGACTGTTTTGTGCCTTGAAAGTCACAGATTCTGGCTCCTCCCACGAATAGCAGCCCCACAGACGAGAAAGGGAGGGAGGGTCCCCACATTTCCCTGGCGGAGAGAGGGGTTTGGTGACACCGTGCCCAGGATTATAGCACTGGAGCCGCACATGGAAGGCCAGAGCTTTGCCTCGGTGCTGGGTGTGCTTTGCTGTGCAAATTATCCACGTGGACAAGGGGTCAGGGATGTTCCCAAAGCACTTTAACATTCTTCTTCACAGCATCTCTTGTTCACGAGGCACACGTAGGGCAAGGTTTTTGACCCGGGTGTGCAAACACGTCCATGTCTTAATTGTAGATCAGTTTTCTCTCTTTTCCAACCAGCACCACCGGGGTAGCCCAGTTCTCTGTACTGTATGTACTTGAAATAAAATGCATTCCTGTGGAACGTCTGGTACAGACTTTTTCTTTGGAAGGTGATGTCTTTGTTCGGTTTTCCTGTTTTGTTTTTGTTTGCCACTATGCCTGCAGCTGGTGCTGACTGGCAAACCAGACAGGTCTTGTTCTCAGAGGCAGAGGATGTCCTGAAGGGATCAGATCATTGATTTTCTTTTCTTTTTCTTTTTTAAAAATATATTTTATTGATTTTCCACAGAGAGGAAGGGAGAGGGATAGAGAGCTGGAAACGTCAATGAGAGAGGAACATTGGCCAGCTGCCTCCTGCACACCCCCCACTGGGGATGTGCCCGCAACCAAGCAAGGTACATGCCCTTGACCGGAATCGAACCTGGGACCTTTCAGTCCGCAGGCTGATGCTCTATCCACTGAGCCAAACCGGTTTCGGCTAGTTTAGCCCTTCTTAGTTGGGATTCAGGAATCTGTAGTTTAACAACTCCACCAGGTGATTCTCGGCCTGAGAGAAGTTTGGGAAACTGGCTTCACCTCTGCACGGGCTGTGGGCAGCCCCGCGTGCAGGCTTCTGGCCGGGAGGCCCCTGTTCACGAGCGGGCAGCGCGCGGACCCTCGCAGCCGCCACCTGTGACGCCACGTGCGTTGCTAGGCGACCGCGAACGCCGCGCAGCCTGCGGGCCAGCGGGCGGCTGGGCCTGGGTCCTGCGGCGCCTGCAGCGCGGATCCCCCACGTCCCGCCGCCCGGCCTCAGGGGCAGACGAGCCGCCGCGGAAGGAGGCAGCGCCCGCTCCGGTCCTACGACCCCCTCGCCGCCCCCTTCCCCTCCGGGGCCCCGCGAGGCGCCCAGCGCTCCCCGCAGCCCCGGCCCCGCCGCGAGGGCCGCCCCTGCGCCCGGCTCTCCCCTGTCCCCGCTCCAGGCGGCCCGGGAGCCCGGCCCCGCCATGGCCGCGGAGTCGGTGAAGGTGGTGGTGCGCTGCCGCCCCATGAACCAGCGGGAGCGGGACCTGAACTGCCGGGCCGTGGTGACGGTGGAGTCGGCGCGCGGCCAGTGCTTCATCCAGAACCCCAGCGCCACCGACGAGCCCCCCAAGCAGTTCACCTTCGACGGCGCCTTCTTCATGGACCACTTCACCGAGCAGATCTACAACGAGATCGCCTACCCGCTGGTGGAGGTGAGGGCGCCGGAGGCCACCCAGGACCGGCCGGGCAGGACTTGGGGCCCCCGGAGGGAGGGTGCAGCCCCTCACGCCCCCGGAAGGCCCTTCTGGACGCGGGCAGGTTGGTCTGAAGACCCCTGCAGACAGGAGAGGGCAGGACCCCGCCCATTAGGTCTGTGCCCGGGTCTCCGGGGCACCCAGTGCCCAGGCCGCTCGCACCCTCACTCCTTACAGCCCCTTATGTTCCTTTATTCCCACAAGAATCCGCCCTGCAGGACCACCTGCCCCCACCCTCACCAGAGGGCTTCAGACTGCTCCAAACGCTCCTTCTCCGTCTCCCTTCCCCTCCCCATCCCAGGCCTTGGCCTCTGCTTTCTCCCCTCAGCTGTCAGAGCCACTCTTAATCCTATGCGGGAGGGAGGAAGCCCTCCTGCTTCTGCTCCTTTGAGCTTCATAAAGCCCGGAGGGGAGGGGGCACTCACATTTCACAGATGGGGAAACTGAGGCTGGGTGGGAGGAGCCAGGCCCCCACAGGGCGACTGATAGAGGTGGGGCTGGATCTGCCCCTGCTGTCCATGTCTGCTGACATCTCCCCAGCTGCCCTCGGATCACTGGGGAGATGTGACGGGGGGGGGCGGGGTGGTGGTGTTCCAGGGAAAGAGGGAGAGTTTGCGAAATGCTCTGCACACTCCCCGTTGCTTGAAGACCCAGGACGATGCGCAGAGGACGAGGGCCGCTCTCCCCAGGGGTGGTCCCAGGCTCAGGATGGCAGGCTGTTGCTCTCTGTCCCGGATTTCCAGGCTGAAGGGACCTGAGGAGTCATCTCGTCCAGTCTCCTCCCCATCGGGTCCTTGTCATGACTGTCCACCCCGTGGAAGGGGCTCACTTTCCCCAGAGCGCCCCAAAGCCCCCCTCTGCTGCTGGGCTCCTGGAGACCACCGTACACTGTAGCACCCCTCACTTCACATGCACAAGGGTCCCCGTAGCAGTGAAGTGAGGCACTCTAAGCCGTGTTTAGTGGGAGAATACTTTACACTGCTTCCGTTTTTAAGTCTAAATTAATTAAAGTAAATGCAGTATCTCGTTTGCCCCAGGCATGTGTCCAGTGTGGCTGGTGGCTACTCCCCCGGATGGTGCCGGGGTATTTATGTTTATGCGGACCCTTGTCGGGGTCTGGGTTTGGGTCGATACTTGGGGCACTTCGTGTGCCCTGGCTCTGAGGAGCCCAGCTGGGGCCCTTGGGCGATGGCTCTGCCACAGCCTGTCCCCCTCCGCCAGGCACCCACCCCTGTGTGCACCCCTCGCGGTGGTCAGGGTTTCCTCAGACATGGGAGAGCTGATGCCTGTCCAGTTCTGCCCTCTAAAACGAGGCCTCCCTCCAAGGAACGGTGACTGGTGGCTGGTCTTCCCTCCCCTGGGACCGGAGCCCCACGCCGCCTGCGGGGCGGGTCTGTGCATGGAAGCAGGAAGCCCTCAGATGCCACGGGGGCCCTCAGGGTCCGGGAGCAGCCCTCAGGTTCTGACTGGGTTTCCCGCTCCTCACAGGCGGTTCTAGACTCGAGTTTGTGTCCTCCTGTGTGAGGGCGGGGATGGGGTGTCTGCCTGAGCCATTGTTCTGTCGCCTGCCGGAGCCCGGCACCTGGCACTGGGAAGCCGGTGCCTGCGGAAGGAATAAATGCTTCTGAATGAAGGAGGACTTTAGGGTGCCACCTATTTGCCCTGCCTTTCTTTTCAGCTGCTGCTTCCACCCCCCTCGCCCCAGCCTCTCTCCTCTCTGCCAAGCTGTCCCCTCAGCCTGGAATGCCTTCCTCTTCTGTCACCTGTCAAACCCAGGCCTCCCCTTCAGTTCCCCCAGTTCCACTCACCCAGGAGGCGGGGCCTGGCTCCTCCCACACCGTCCTGTCCCCTCTCCTCCCCCACACTCCCTCTCCTTGCCCAGGGCCCCAGCTCCCCACGGTACACTCCCCTCCGCGAACTGTATGGGAACCACTCCCCCACAATCCAGGCGATCCAGGACATTTAGTGAGCAGCTCTGTACCCCGGCACCCCTGCCAGTGCCTGCAGTGCTTCTCGGGGAACCCTCACACAGACCCCTCGTTTCAGAGGAGGAAACTGAGGCGCCACGTGCCTGCGTTCCAACAGGCCAGGGGCTCCCAGTCAGCGAAGGGAAGAGACTGAGTGAACCCGGGTGTCTAGACTCCGGGGCACACGCTGTTAACCTCACACAGGACAGACTCCTACCCCAGCAGGCACTGACCTTGAGGACAGAGCTGGGCCTCATTCATGCCCACCTGCCCACCTCCAGCCCAGGGACATGGAGGTGGGAGGCCCAGGAGGGGTCCCGGGTCAGCCCCTCAGACCTGGCCGGGCGGGGCCTGCTGAGCACCAGGTTCTGGTCCTCCCCGCAGGGTGTCACGGAGGGCTACAACGGCACCATCTTTGCCTACGGCCAGACGGGCAGCGGCAAGTCGTTCACCATGCAGGGCCTGCCCAACCCGCCCACCCAGAGGGGCATCATCCCCAGGGCCTTCGAGCACGTGTTTGAGAGTGTGCAGGTACGGCCTCGGGCGGGCAGGGCAGGGCTGGGGCCAGGGCGGCGTGTCCCAGAGCACGTGTCACTCCGGGGTGAACCAGGGCCTACAGCACGGCTGAGCGGAGGCAGGCTCTGGTTTTCTAACTGTGATGGGAGAACTTAAACTGAGGCAGTGACACCTCGCAGTTTTATGTTTTTCTCTTACTATTGTATTTTTGGATTTTTTAAAAATTTCATTTTAGAGAGAAGGGAGAGGAATAGAGAGAAACGTGGATGTGAGAGAGGAACATCCATTGACTGCCTCCTGCATGCCCCTTACTGGAGATTGAGCCCACAACTTGAGCATGTGCCCTTGACCAGATTTGAACCTGGGACCCTTCAGTCCGCAGGCTGACGCTCTCTCCACTGAGCCAAACCGGCCAGGGACCAAGCCTTGTACAAAGCCCTTTAGGATCCTATGGAACGCCGCCCGGGTCCTGCAGGTAACCGTCATCCCCATTTTCAAGAACGGGAAGCTGAGACTTGGAGCCCCTGTGGGCTGGCTCCAAACCAGTCATCCCAGCCCTAGCTTGTTTGGCTCAGGGGATAGAGCGTCAGCCTGCAGACTGAAGGGTCCCAGGTTCGATCCCCAGGCTTGATCCCCAATAGGGGGTGTGCAGGAGGCAGAACATCAATGATTCTTTCTCATGATTTGTTGAAGTTTCTATCTCCCCCTCTCCCCTTCATCTCTGGAATCAGTAAAAAAAAAAAAAAAAAAATTAAAAACAACACAGTCACCCCAGTGTCCAGGCTGCAGGTGAGAAGTGCAGTGGTGTTTGTGGCAATGCACAGAGATTCCTGCATCTGGGAAATGGCAACGTGGGGGCCAGGACCCTGGTCCGCTGCAGAGCCCCCTGTACCTGCACCCGGGACTCATCCAGTGAGAGGGCTGCCAGTGCGTGGGCCAGGCCTTACCTTTGGCCTCAGTTTCTCTACCTGAACAATGGGAGGCCTCTCCTATCTCTTGTCCATTGAGGCCTGTAGAGAGGGCATTGGACAACAGCAATATGAGAAGGATGTGACTGTGAAGCCTGACTGCCCCCGCCCGCCCCGCCCCCTGCCCCCCTCGCCCCGCCCCCTGCCCCCTGCCCCCCCCCTGCCCTGCATTGCCGTGATGCCTGGCTGCAGGGCTCAGGTGGCAGGGCCAGGGAGGCAGCAGGGCTCAGGTGTCCGTCTGTGCTCTCTGCCCCCTCCCTGCAGTGTGCGGAGAACACCAAGTTCCTGGTCCGGGCCTCCTACCTGGAGATCTACAACGAAGATGTCCGTGACCTCCTGGGGGCTGACACCAAGCAGAAGCTGGAGGTGGGTGCGGACCTGGAGTAGGCGGGTGGGGGCCAGTGGAGAGGAGAGGTAGGCATTAGGTGGCAGGGGTCCCTCAGAAATTCAGGAAAGCTGTCCTGAGTGCACAGTGTGGGTTCAGACTGAGGTGAGGACTTAGGACCCACGCGGTGGTTGTGAGATTCAAGAGGGTGATGAGGGCTCGCCGAGCTGCCGTAGAGCAGGTGTTCAGTGTGTGAGCGATTCCATCCATTGTGATTCCCCGGAAGGACAGTGGTGTGACTGGCTGCTGCACAGTGGAGACCCAGGGAGGAGGAGTCAGGGCTGATGGGCACGTGTTTGTACATTGTCCTCAGCCTCCTAAAAGGCTAGAACTGGAATGAAAGAACGTTCTTTGAGGCCAAATTAGATGCTTTGAGGGTCCCGTCAAGATGACAGAACTGTCCTGGCCAGTTTGGCTCAGTGCATAGAGTATCGGCCTGAGGACTGAAGGGTCCCGGGTTCAATTCTGGTCAAGGGCACTTACCTCAGATGCTGGCTGGATCCCAGGCCCTTGTGGGGGCCGTGCAGGAGGCAAACAAGTGACGTATGTCTCTCCTCCGCCCTCCCACTCTCTCTAAAAACCAATGGAAAAGTGTCCTCGGTGAGGATTAGAACAATGACAAGAGGAACCTTGGAGGATGACAGACTGATCCTCTGGGCTCTTTAAACTCTGGGTGAGCCTGGGCAGGTCCAAGGAGGAGAGGGCAGTGCATGGAGGTGCTGGCGGCTGCCCCCCAAGTCTGGTGCTTCTTATCTGACCAAGCAACCAACGGGGTCAAAAGGGGGTCGGGGGTTGGGGGTCAGGGGCCATCCCACCTCCCTCAGAGGCAGAACGTCCGAGTTGGGGGAGTGCCAGTCATTAAAGAGCATTGGCCCTGGGAGGTTGCTATGGAGATTCCCATTTTACAGGCGAGGAAACTGGGCTGGGAAAGAGGGTCACTCGGTCCCTGGGTAGGAAGCGGCAGAGTCAGGGTTGGACATTTTCCATGACCCCAACGGCGTCAGTCTCCCAGGCCACGTGCCTCGACAGCCATGGGGGCGAGCAGAGCCTGCCGTCCCCTCGATGGCACAGGGCACTGGAGCCGCCCATGTGGGGTGTTTCTCTGCTCGGCCCCAGAGTCTTCTACTTGCCTCCTGACCCCCCGCTTGCCCTGGCTTCATTGCGGGGCTGTGAGTGCCTCTCCAACGGGGGCCACACCATGGCCCCGTGGGACAGTCAGACTGGGAGCCATGGACACGTCCCCAGTGTCTGAGCCGGAAAGACCCTGAGAGAGCTTTTACTGAGCCCCATCCTGGAACCGATGAGGAAACTGAGTCCCTAGGAGAGGCAGGGGCGTGGCCGAGATCACATGGCAGACTGCTTGTTGTGTTACCTGAACTCTGGGATGTGCGCGGTCAGGTGCTTTCCTCCCTGAGTTTTTTGGGTCAGTAACATAGGAACCCTCTGGGGCAATAAGAAGCAAAAATTAGGTTCCAGTGAGGGAGGGGCATGTTGGTTCACTCATTCAACAAAAGCTTACTGGGGGCGGGGGCCGGGGGCCGGGGGCAGGCCCTGAGCAGCAGGCCACACAGGTGTGCCTCCCTGCCAGCCCCCTCTGCCTCTCCCAAACACGGCAGTGCTTTGCCCTTTCTGTGCGGGAGCTCTAGCCGCCCACCTGGATCTTTTCCTGTCTTTTCTAGCAGCTGAGTCACTCCTCAGCCCCAGACAGGGAAGCGGGGGGAGAAGCAGCGCAGGGAGCTGCTCCCGCTGGTCCGCCCGAAAGGCCAGCCCTGGGGCACGGGCACAGGGCCCTCCTCCCCGTCCTTGTACCCGGGCCCCTAGCCGGGCTCAGTCACCAGGCCCTGAGGGATGAGGGCTGGCAGCCATGCCTTCTTGCCCCTGCTGGGCCCGGGGCCTCAGGCTCCCGGGCTCCCGGGGGGTGGGGGGTGGGGGCGCCAGGGCCAGAGGCGCTCCAGGACAATCCCCGGGGTGCTCTGAGCTACGACCCTGACCCGGTGCCTCGCAGAGAAGGCAGAGGGGTCCTCACGTGACCTCACAGCAGCCTTCGGAGGAGGTGCTGCTCGTACCCTTAAGCACAGAGGGAAACTGAGGCCGGCGCCTGGGGGAGAGCAGCGAGGGGGAGGACCGGGTACAAATGCAGGTGGTCAGGCTCACTGCACAGCGCGGGCCTGAGCCCTTCGGTAATTGGGGTTATTAGATCGGCGAGGGCCAGCGAGAGATGTTGGGGAGCAGGGTTATACCTCCTCCCCAAACCACGAACTGTCAGGGAAATACTCCGGCAGTGGGCGGAGGGGGTCGGCCTCGGGGGCCCTCCATCAGGCCCTGTACCCCGTGTCCCAGCAGCGTCAGGACCCCTCCCCCGGGGGGGTGTTTCCTGGCTCCACGTGTCCTGCCTGTGCGCCAGGCTCAGCCATGCCACAGCCCAGCTGGTTGTCATGGCGACTGGGCAGCCCTGCAGCTGTGGAGTGGTTACCAAGGAACAGGCACAGCTGGTGCTGTCACTCAGCGCTCCCTCCCAGCTCTGGGTGGGCGGGGCAGGGACATCGGGGGAGGTGGGGAGGCAGCCCGGGATCGTGAGGTGGGGGAGCAAGCCTTCCTGGGTCTAAACATGACCACTCCGTGAGGGGGTGCCCCCCTGCCCCGTTTTCTGCTCATGAGAGACAGTGTCCTCACCTCTACATGGCCTGTGCTCACTCAGCCCCTCCAAGCTCCCAAAGAACTTTCTATCAGCTCCATTCTCTTCTCAGTCCTCACAGGCAGGCAGAAATAGGCTTTATTGTCCTCATTTTACAGCTGACAAAACCAAGGCCAGAGAGGCAAACTGACTGCCCCAGCCAGAGCAGGTTTCCACCCCAGGCCTGTCTGACTCGATAGGAACTGCCTCCTCCCTGAAGCCGGGGGCAGCCGCTCACCCAGACCTACGGTGTGCCAGCCAGCCTTCCGGGTTCTGCCAGGGAGAAGGCCGCTGTGGGGCACGCAGGTGGCGTGAACACAGCCACCAGGTGCTGCGCAGCCTCCCGCTGGCTCCACGCAGGCTCCTGTGCAGGGTCTCCGAGGCCGAGGTCAGCCGTGTCATTTCACGTCATTTCACACGTTAGTTCCTGCAGGACGCTCCAGCCTCTCCCCAGGCCGTCCCTTTGGACTCTCCGCTGTCCGTCACCCCAGTGAGGGCTGCCCCTGAGACTGTGTGACCCCAGCGAGCCGCCTCGCCCCCGTGCCTCGGTGGTCTCTCCGCACTGCCGCAGGCAGCGCAAGGCCGCACCCGCCCCCTCCCAGGGACCTGACGCTGCCCAGAGCAAAGCGCCTGAGCCGTGGGTGGCTCAGACCGGCAGGCGGGCGGCTTTTGTCCTGATTCACTCTGCTCTGGTCGGCGGAGCGGGTTTTGTTTCCTCTCACACTTGAGAAATGTTGCGTTTCACAGCTCCGTGTCAGCAACAGAACAACGCGGCTGCCTGGATGGCAGGCAGGGAGCAGCCGGAGAAATTAATTTACTCACTGCCACTGCGCGGAGAGCCACCGAGCTGTGAGCCATCGGGGGTTCTGGGCAGCACGTGGCACTTCACCGATGTCCTCCACCGCTGCCTGGGAGCGTGGCAGAGCGGCCCAGAGCCACGCCGGTGGGGCAGAGGAGGAGCCTTAGTGCCCCTGGGTGACTTCTGTGCCCGCCCCGGGAGCTGACACTCCCCGTCTGAAACCCTTCCCACAGCAGCACTGGCTGCCGCAGGGAGGACAGCGGCTGGCACTTAGGGAGCACTGGCCGTGTGCCAGGCTCCGTGCCAAGCGTTCTGTGGGCTTTAGTTTGCGGAATCCTCGCCGTCTCCCTGGGAGATAGGTATCTCACACCCATTTTACAGATGTGGAAACTGAGATTTAGAGAGGGTAAGGCACTGGCTCAAGGTCCCATACGTAAGAGGCAGGGGTGGGTGGGAGGCTGGCTCCACCTGCAACACACCCTCTGCCCAAAAGGGCATTTGGGGTGCTGATCGGGGCTCTGGGGGACAAAGGTGGACCCTGACCGCACCTCCCACCGCAGCTGAAGGAGCACCCGGAGAAGGGCGTGTACGTGAGGGGGCTGTCCATGCACACGGTGCACAGCGTGGCCCAGTGCGAGCGCATCATGGAGCGGGGCTGGAAGAACCGCTCGGTCGGCTACACCCTGATGAACAAGGACTCCTCGCGCTCCCACTCCATCTTCACCATCAGCATCGAGATCTACGCCGTGGGTGCGCGCAGCCGGAGGGGGTAGAGGGGGACTGGAGAGGGCGGCTGGGGACCCGATCCCGATCCCACTCCCAGTCGCTAAGACTCTTCACCCCTCGGGGCCTCAAGGGCCCACCTGACCCTGGGGAGGATGCTCAGACTGCTGGAGGGAGCACTGGAGCCCCTCCCGTGCTGGGACCCCTGCTTCCAGGGTAAACGGCAGCATCAGCCACAGCCACCGTCCTGGCGGCTGCGGAACTGGGCTCGTCCCCTGGGGCCTGCGCTCTGTGCCAGGCCTGCGTAGACCCTGGGAAACGTGCTGTCGGTTTGTTTCACCCCCAACAACCGGCGTCATGGGAGCTCTGGCTAGTCTCACTTTGTGGATGGGAGAAGTGAGGATCAGAGAGGTGCACGGCTCTGCCAAGGTCACACAGCAAGTGAGATGGGAACCAGGTCCCAGTCTCCAAAGCTAATGCTTTCTGCCATAAGAACACAACTCCCTGGTGACCCAGACACACACACACACACACACACACACACACACACACACACACCTTTGGCCTCACTGGCCAAATGCAGCAGCTGCTGTGAGAGCCATAGAAGCCTGCTGCTCAGAGACTAGTCTACCTCCCAGCCCCTGCTTCCTGGACTCAGACAGTCCAGGGGCCGAACCAGGCTCCACCACTGAGCAGCTGTGGGCTTTGGGCACGTTAAATGCCCTTCCTGAGCCTCAGTTTTCTCATCTGTAAGAGGGGCGCAGTCAGAGCACCTCCTGCATGGGGCTCCTATGTGGCTGAAATGAGGCCCTCGGTGGGTGGGGAGCACTCGGTGGGAGGGGAGTACTGGGTGGGAGGGGAGCACTCGATGGGGAGCACTCAATGGGTGGGGAGCACTCAGTGGGTGGGGAGCACTCGGTGGGAGGGGAGCACTGGGTGGGAGGGGAGCACTCAGTGGGTGGGGAGCACTCGGTGGGAGGGGAGTACTGGGTGGGAGGGGAGCACTGGGTGGGAGGGGAGCACTCAGTGGGTGGGGAGCACTCGGTGGGAGGGGAGTACTGGGTGGGAGGGGAGCACTCGATGGGGAGCACTCAATGGGTGGGGAGCACTCAGTGGGTGGGGAGCACTCGGTGGGAGGGGAGCACTGGGTGGGAGGGGAGCACTCAGTGGGTGGGGAGCACTCGGTGGGAGGGGAGCACTGGGTGGGAGGGGAGCACTGGGTGGGAGGGGAGCACTCAGTGGGTGGGGAGCACTCGGTGGGAGGGGAGTACTGGGTGGGAGGGGAGCACTCGATGGGGAGCACTCAATGGGTGGGGAGCACTCTTTGGGAGGGGAGCACTCGGTGGGTGGGGAGCACTCAGTGGGTGGGGAGCACTCAATGGGTGGGGAGCACTCTTTGGGAGGGGAGCACTGGGTGGGAGGGGAGCACTCAGTGGGTGGGGAGCACTCGGTGGGAGAGGTGCCTGACGGCCAGCGGCCCTCGTGAACGGTGGGAGGGCTGCCCACCAGAGGCCCTCACCGCTCCTCCGGGTCTCTCCGCAGACGAGCGGGGCAAGGACCACCTGCGGGCAGGCAAGCTGAACCTGGTGGACCTGGCGGGCAGCGAGCGGCAGTCCAAGACGGGGGCCACCGGGGAGCGGCTCAAGGAGGCCACCAAGATCAACCTGTCACTGTCAGCGCTGGGCAACGTCATCTCGGCCCTGGTGGACGGGCGCTGCAAGCACATCCCCTACCGCGACTCGAAGCTGACGCGGCTGCTGCAGGACTCGCTGGGCGGCAACACCAAGACGCTGATGGTGGCCTGCCTGTCGCCCGCCGACAACAACTACGACGAGACCCTCAGCACGCTGCGCTACGCCAACCGCGCCAAGAACATCAAGAACAAGCCGCACATCAACGAGGACCCCAAGGACGCCCTGCTGCGCGAGTACCAGGAGGAGATCAAGAGGCTCAAGGCCATCCTGGCCCAGCAGATGGGCCCCGGCAACCTGTCAGGTGGGCGCCTGGGATGAGGGGGCGGGAAGGGGCGGGCACCCGGGGGAAGGGCTCTGCCTGCCTGCAGATGAGCCGGAGAGACGGAGGCAGCGTCCCATGTCCTCAGCGTCATGGAAGCTGGCTTTGGACCAGTGAGGGAGAGCCCTGGGTGGTGACAGCCGGAGGCATCTGCTCTCTGATGCCCCAGGAAGAGGCCAGGGTGTCCATCCTGTCCCATTAGCTGGGCGGAGGGGGGCGGGGGCGGTGGGGGGCGGCTCTGTCGCCGGCTCCCTGCCCCCGTCTGCCACTGTCTCTGAGGCAGCAGCGTGATGCTGTGCTGCTCAGCAGGGGGTGACTCACTCCCCGTCCAAACCCCACTCCCACTCGGCTCCTTGTGACGGCAGCACTCACGCCCAGGCCTTGGGCTGTCCTCTGCCGGTGGAAATCATGCCTGGCAGGTCTGCTAGGTTCCTGCAGCCGCAGGGCGCCGAGGTTTCTTCCCGTCTGAGAAGCCCCTGGGGAAGGGAGCACAAAGGAGCCTAAGTCCATCTCTCCGTTCATCCAACTCCCCAGCCACCTTCCTCTCTCTCCATCCATTCTACACACTCCCATTCTTCTACCCTTCCACCCTTCTTTCCTTCCACCCTTCTTTCCTTCCTTCCTTCCTTCCTTCCTTCCTTCCTTCCTTCCTTCCTTCCTTCCTTCCTTCCACTTACCCACTCATCCATCCATCCTACTCATCGATCCATCATCTGTCTGTCTGTCCGTCCATCCATCCATCCATTTATCCATCCTTCTACTTACCCATTCATCTATCCATCCATCCATCCACTCATCCATCATCCATCTACTCATCTATCTACTCATCCATCCATCCATCCATCCATCCATCCATCCATCCTTCTACTTATCCATCCATCCATCCATCCATCCATCCTTCTACTTATCCATCCATCCATCCATCCATCCATCCATCCTTCTACTTATCCATCCATCCATCCATCCATTCATCCATCCTTCCTTCCTTCTACTTATCCATCCATCCATCCATCCATCCATCCACTTACCCACTCATCCATCCACCCACCCAAAGTTCTCTGAGCACCCCTCCGTGTGGGCCTGTGCTGGGCACTGGGGACACAGGTGAATCGGATCCAGGCTCTACCTCATGGCACCTCCTCTCCTGGGGAGGGGACTCCAGCAGACCATCATGTGGGGTGAGGTGAGTGAGCTTCGTCTGTTCTGTTGCTGCCACACCCCCATCCCTAGAGCAGGCGGTGCTCAAGAAATCTTTTTTTTTTTTTTTTAATATATTTTATTGATTTTTTACAGAGAGGAAGGGAGAGAGATAGAGAGCTAGAAATGTCAGTGAGAGAGAAACATTGACCAGCTGCCTCTTGCACACCCCCTACCGGGGATGTGCCCGCAACCAATGTGCATGTCTTTGACTGGAATCGAACCTGGGACCTTTCAGTCCACAGACCGAAGCTCTACCACTGAGCCAAACCAGTTTCGGCTCAAGAAATCTTTGCTAAATGACTGAGTACAGTAGCACTTTCCATAGAGATGCTTCAAATAAGCTGAAGACTTTGAAGTCCTTTAGAATGAGCCTGTGGGTGTCTTTGCGGAGTGCTGTTTACGTAGTTCCTGCCAACGGTGTGCACCTGCGTCACTGCCCCTCATTTCTGCCCCCCCAGCCCTGCTGGCCAATCAGGCGCCCCCAAACCCTGTCCAGACCGAGGAGAATCCATTGTCCCCGCCAGTGGTCCAGCCTGACACGGAGGCTGAGAAGCAGCTGATCCGGGAGGTGAGAGCCGGAGCAGGGAGGGGAGTGGGCGGCGGGTGGGGCCAGCGGCAGACCGCTTCCAGAGTGATGTCCTTTCACCCCCTCACTGTGGGGCCGGCACTCCAGCCTCCCTTTCGGGGTCACACAGAGATCCTGGGGCCATGACTTGCCCAAGGTCACACAACTAAGGAGAGTCAGAGCTGGGATTTGAACGTGGGTTCCGGACGCCAAAGTCCAGTGCATCCCACCTCAGTAGGAGAGCAGGGAGGGGAGAGGGTCTGCGGGAGTGCCATCTCTCCTCACACAGCAGGAATGGGCGGCTGGGGAGTGGAGGAAGCCGAGAAGGCCTGTGCAAAGGCGCGAGGCCAGCTGGAAGGGGTTGTTCCCCGCAGCAGGTGCCAGGAAGCCTGGGCCGAGAGCAGGGCAGCTGGGGTGGGCCGTGGGGAGTCCCTAGGTGCCCATGTGACTGGGGTAAGTGGGGTGTTAGCCTCCCAGAAAAAGCTGTCACTTGGGTCCTCTTCCCACATGTGGGCTCCTAGGATCCCGGAGCAGCCGGGCAGGTAACACCTGATTTGCAAAAACAAAGCTGATCCCTGGGGTTAGGGGGCGGGGGGCACTTAACACAGCCGACCCCCAACTCCGGGCTCTGTCAGCTCCCGGGGGTTCCTGCCAAAGGGCACATCTGAGGCCCCGATGTGGCAGGGTTTGGCACCTGACAGTCCCTTTAGGGCCCTGGCTTTTTCGTGGTGGAGAACCCAGTGCCAGCAGGATCAGCTGCAGAGCCTGGGCTTGGGGACATGTCTGTTGCTGGGCCTTTGCCCCTCAACTATGACCTCAGGTAGGACCAGCCCTGAGGCCTGGGAGCCTGGTCAGGCTGTGGGGGCCTGGGGCCCAGCCTGAGAGGGGGGAACAGGGCCTCCGTCCTGTGGACTGGAGTGCTGGGGAAATGGACTCAGGGTCCCCAGAGCTGCCCGCGGCGGGCAGAGGCTGTTACTGCTCAGTGAGAGGCCCAGCTGGACCCTCTCCTGGCCCCGTGAAGGTGTGGGAGCTCGGCGGCTCTGCCTGTTCCCCGCTGGGAGCCCCGGGGGCAGGGTGAGGAGGCAGCCTTCAGCAGTGCCGAGCCCGAGCCCACAGAATGAGAGGCCACACTTTGGGGGTTCAGAGTGTGTCTGGAATCACAGCAACAGGTGGACGTTGGCCACAAAACAGTGGGGGTGGGAAGGGTTGGCCTGGGGGTGGGATGGAAGCTTCTTTCCCAAGGAAGACCCGTTGGGTGGGAAGGCACTGCCCCCTAGTGGTCACCAGGGAGAAGAGACGCTGTGCAGGCTCCAGGGTCCATCTACCTGGGGGTTGGGGGTGCCTGCCTCCGCCCCAGGGGGCAGCCCAGTGGACGCTGGGTCAGAAGCCACCACCACCAAGTCTGCTTTCTGGCCCTAGCGTTCCTTCTGTGAGCCACACGTAGAGGAAGCGCTGCGAGGGCCTGTCCCCTCGCCCTCCCGTTCCAGGACCAGTCAGGGCGCTCGGGGTTGGGGAGGTGGCCCCTGTGTGCAGTGAGTGGAGACGGTGCCGGGCCAGGAAATGACTCGGCCACGAGCTGGAGGTGTGACGGTGGGCTTCAGTCTCCTAGCCTTAGGGGGCAGGATTTGAACTAGAAGATTCCTAGGGTCCATGCAGCTTTTACAGTCTGCAAGTCCAGTTCTCACGGGCTCTGTGACCTTGGGCAGGCTGCATAAGCTCTCGAGCCTGCTTCTCATCTCTAGAACGGATGCAATAGCAGCTTTCCTGCTGCTGCGAGGGGGGGCGTGCAGGGGTCTTATTGCCGGGATTTGCACGCAGGCCCCCATTGAATCAGCGCTTTCTGAGCACCTTCTAGGCACGGGCCCTGTAGCTGGAGGCGCACATGGTATAGGAAGAGGTTTATTGCCTTTAATATTGGCAGTAACGGAGCAGGTTTTGTGAACTGCTGGGAAAGGTCTTGAGCTGAGGGAGAAGTCCGTGACGTAGGAGGGAGGTGGGGATCGACAGCGTGACGTCCTAGGTGGGGCGGCTCAGTGCCAGATGGCTCGTGCACGGTCACAGGAGAGGACGCTGAGCTTTGGGGCGGGCGTACCTACCTGCAGGTGGGACGGAGGTGCGGGCCTGGGAAGGTGAGCAAGTTCGTGGCCAGTGGGCTTCAGAGTGCTCTGAAGTGTGAGACAGGACGGGGCGGCCTCGGAGGGTTGGAGGAAGGAGAGGGAGGACTGGGTTGAGGACCCTGTGGTTAAGACCTGTCCGTTGATGCGAAGAGGTGCTCATGATATATTGCTGTGGGGAAAACAGACAAACACACACGTGCATTGGTAACCGTTAAACACGCACAGCGGAAAGTCCAGGAGGGCCTTCACCAGCCATTAATTATCCCAGAGTTGGGCGGGCAATTTGATTCAGTTCTTTTGGCTTACTTGTATTTTCTGGATCGCTTCAGGGGGCAGGCATACTGAAGACTGTTTTTGTTTTTTTTAAATATATTTTTTATTGATTTTTTTTACAGAGATGAAGGGAAAGGGAGAGAGAGTTAGAAATATCGATCAGCTGCCTCCTGCACACCACACACTGGGGATGTGCCCGCACCAAGATACATGCCCTTGACCAGAATCAAACCTGGGACCCTTCAGTCCACAGGCCGATGCTCCATCCCCTGAGCCAAACGCGTCAGGGCTGGAGGCTGTGTTTTGAAATGGCTCTCACCCCCAGGAGTACGAGGAGCGCCTAGCCCGGCTGCAGGCCGACTACAAGGTGGAGCAGGAGTCCAGGGCGCGGCTGGAGGAGGACATCACTGCCATGCGCAACTCGTACGACGTGAAGCTGTCCACACTGGAGGAGAGCCTGCGCAAGGAGACAGGTGCGCTGCTCTGGGGGCGCGCTGGCTCTGGGGGGCGCGCTGGCTCTGGGGGGCGGGCAGCCTGCTTCCTGCCCTGTTTTACTGCCTGGCGCTTATAGAGCACTTTGTACTCGCCAGGGCCGTGCTGTGTGCTCCTCACAGCAGCCAGCGAGGTAGGTACTACAGTGACTCTCATTTTATAAAGGAGGCAGCTGAGGCACAGAGAGGGTAAGTCACAGCAGGGAGAGTGGAGACAGGATTCGAACCCAGGCTGTCTGGCCCCAGAGCCAGTGTTCTCACCCACAGCACTTGGCCAGAGGCTGGGGCCCTCGCCCAAGGCCAATCCAGAGTGGTAATGTATCCCCCATGTTTCATGGGGAAGTCCTTTTCTAGAGTTTCTGCGTTTCTTACTGTCTCCTCTCAGTACCAAAGCAACCATAGCCCATAATAAGCATTCAATCATTAGTAAAAATTTGAAGAAGAAAAAAAGGAAAAAAAAACTTGAACCTTCTTGGAAGTTTTAGTCCAACATACTGTATATATACATTAGAGGCCTGGTGCACAAAATTCATGCAGTGTGGGGGGCTGTGCCTTAGCCTGGCCTGCACCCACTCACAGTCTAGGAGCCCTTAGGGGATGTCTGACTGTCAGCTTAGCCAGGGGTCCTCAAACTTTTTAAAGTGGGGGCCAGATCACGGTCCCTCAGAGAGCTGGAGGGCCGAACTATATGAACTACTAATTCCTACTGTAACACCTCGGCTGCACTCACTGCCCAAAAAACCTGGCGGGCCGGATCAGACTCCTCTGCGGGCCGCATGTGGCCCGTGGGCCGTAGTTTGAAGACGCCTGGCTTAGGCTAAGCTGGAAGTCGGACATCCTTAGCGCTGCCGTGGAGGAGGTAGAGGCCCCCGCCACTGCTGCTGCACTCACGAGCCATGAGCCTGTGGTGAGTGTCTGCCCCCTGGTGGTCAGTGCATGTCATAGCGACCAGTCATTCTGCCATTCGGTCAATTTGCATATTAGCCTTTTATTATCGGGTCTAGTAATAATTAATGTCGTTTTTAAACATTTGTTTAAAATCTTGCTTGGCGTTGACTTGTATTGACATAACCTTCAAACACGTGGTATCTACAGAACATGTGAAGTGCAATTAACAAGTTTTGCTTGAAAAAGTTTGTGTTTGGTTTGGTTTTTGTTGCAAAACTAGGGCTAAGAAGATGGCGGATGAAGAGCATATTCGGCACTATATGCTTTACGAGTTCCAATTAGGAAGAAAAGCAAGTGAGGCTGCAAAAAACATCTGTAGTGCTCTTGGTCAAGATGCAGTTAGCGCCAGAAAATGCCAGCGTTGGTTTGAGAAATTTCGCGAGGGAAATTTTTCGTTAGATGACAAGAGTGGTCGAGGCCGTGTGTCCAATTTTGATCAAGAAGCTCTTCAAGCTCTTTTGGTGCAAAATCCTCAAATTACCCAACAAGAGCTTGCGACAACTTTAAATTGTTCACAAAAAACAATTTCCAATCAATTGCGTGCACTTGGCAAAGTCCAAAAGTTTGGAAAATGAGTTCCTCATGAGTTGACCGACAACAACCGTAATCAAAGAGTCACAATTTGCAGTTCGCTCCTCTCTCATCAAAACTGTTTGCCGTTTTTAGAGCAAATTGTTACCGGAGATGAAGAATGGGTGCTGTATGTTAATTTGAAAAGGCGGCCTCAATGGTTGGACAAAAATGAGGCTCCGCAGCCCACGCCAAAACCTGACTTGCATGCGAAAAAAGTGATGTTGTGTGTTTGGTGGAATTTTAAAGGAATTCTTCATTATGAACTTTTACCATCTACCCAAACCATTACAAGTGCAGTGTATAGTGCCCAATTGGAAAGGTTAGCCCAAGCTTTAAGAGAAAAAGAACCCGCGCTGATTAATCGGAAGGGCGTAATTCTTCACCACGATAACGCACAACCGCATACTGCAAGAATCACTGCTGAAAAACTGCGCCAGTTGGAATGGGAAGTTCTCCCTCAACCTGCATATTCTCCTGATATTGCCCCTTCCGATTACCATTTGTTTCGTTCTTTGCAAAACTTTCTTCTTGGAAAAAAATTTAATAATGAAGAATGCCTCAAAAATGCATTGACCGAATTTTTTGCATCAAAATCACAAGAATTTTACAACAGAGGGATTAAAATGCTTCCTGAGCGTTGGGCACAAGTAGTAGAAAACAACGGCAACTATATTGTTGATTAAATTTTGTTGTATTGTTTAAATAAATTCGATTTAAAAAAGTATTAGAAAACGACATTAATTATTACTAGACCTATATGTGTATATATTACATATATATTTTATTACTGATTTCAGAGAGGAAGGGAGGAGAGAGAGAAACATCAATGATGAGAGAGAATCATCAATCAGCTGCCTCTTGCACATCCCACACTGGGGATCAAGCCTGCAACCAAGGCATGTGCCCTGAGCAGGAATTGAACCGGTGACCTTTTGGTTCCTGGGTCAATGCTCAACTGCTAAACTATACCCAGCTGGGCGTTTTTGTCTTCTTTTTTTGACATTCTAGAATATTCCACTTCACTATCATCCAAACACTCGTGGTGCCAAGCAGCCTAAGCTTCCTAGTCTCATCCAAGCATTGTAAAATCCATCCTGCAATGGTGACGATATTGAACATGTCATCAGTGCTGTTTATTGGGCACTGCTGTGTGCCAGGCCCTGGGCAAGGTCCTCAGGGAGGAGGGACTCACTGAGGTTTGGACAGGTTCAGGCCACTGAGCTAGGGAGCATCTGAAATGTCTCAGGGGAGCCGGACACACGTGGCACAGAGGCAGAAGGGATGTAGGCAGGTGGTCTAGTGCCCAGAGCTGGGAGCACCAAGGAGGCCTGTGTGGTCAGAGTCGGCCCAGGCTGGCAGGAAGATGCCACGCCCCGTGCACACCCAGAGGAAGGGCGAGGCAGGTGCTAGCATTTTCTGCCCCTCAGAGAGCTCCCTCCTGCCCAGTTTGAATGCTGTTCTTTGAGTGATTTTAGTCTGTCTAACATTCATCCACAGTGTTCCTTTAACTCCCCCGGGTCTAGCACAGCCATCCTGTGGACAAGGGCCTGGAGCTGGGCACTTCCCCGGGGATCCCTTCGGGATGGGGGGGTGAGACCTGTTCATCAGCTCTCACCCGGGAAGGCAGTGAGACCAACAGGCTTGCTTGTTAAAAGCAGTCCCGAGGCAGGCGGTAAGAGCCCAGCACGTAACAGCTGGGGAGGGCAGAGGATGGAGGAACCGTGGGCGGGCTGGTCAGGGAAGGCTTCCTGGAAGAGGGGGAAGGAGACAGGGTCTGAGTTCTGCAGGGGGAGAGGGCTGGGGCAGAGATGGGAACCGGTAACTGCGGGCCTGAGGGCTCTGACTCCTCGGGCGGTCTCTTGGAGGTGGGGGGTTTGGGCCAGCTTCCAGGAAAGGCCTCCTCCTTCCAGCCTCTGAGGAGCTAAGGGAAGGTCTCGCTCTGCAGAGGCCGTCCTGAAGGCCGAGGTCCTCTTCAACGCCGAAGTCACATCCAAGGCCGAGTTCGCCCGCGTGTCCGAGTACACACCCGCCTTCCAGTACGAGGCGCCGGTGAAGCCCGGGGCGCACTCCGTAAGCGCCGCTCCGCCCAGCGAGGGGGTCCCCTGGGCCGGGCTTCCTGCCCAGCGCGAGGACCCGCCCCGGGCCGAGACCGCCCAGTCAGAGAGCTCCCTGGGGTCCGATGAGGGGTCCGCCCTGGAAGAGCCCCCCGCGCCCGAGGCCCTCCCTGGGCTCCAGCAGCCCGCCAGCCTGGAGCTGCCCGCGGTGCCCGCGGTGCCCATGGCGGGGGCCAAGGGCAAGGGCTTCCAGGATGAGCTCAGCCAGGAGGCCCTGCTGGCCGGGGAGCCCTTCCTGCAGGAGGAGGAGCCCCCGCTGATGCCCCTGGAGCTGTTCCCGGGCCTGCATGACCCGCCCGCCGAGGTGGAGGCCAAGCTGGCCAGGCTCTCGTCCACAGTGGCCCTGGCCGACGCGCCCCTGGAGGAGGCACCCGAGGTCCCCGTGCAGGTAGCCGATGCCGTGCAGGACGCAGGGCGGGGATTCGGCACGCAGAGCCCGGCTGGGAGGCGGGGTCCCTGGGCGCACAGGATGGACGGCTCCAGCTGCGGCTCCAGCTCCGACCCCCCTCTCAGAGGGGGCTCCGGCCTGTGGCGGCTCAGGGCACTCCCGTCCAGGGGTCTGGGAGAGATGGGCTCTGTGTCCTGCTCTGTAAATGGGCAGGGAAGTTGGGATCAAGATGAAGGCTGTGCCCGGTGGGCACCTGCTGTGCTGATGAAGGGCCACCTGCACGGGAGTTGGCTGGGTTGCCATGGTTACACTGAGCTTCCAGGCCTGAGGGAGCTGGAGGCGGCCGTGGTCCACTCTTGGTCCACCCTCGTGCTCTCTCGGGTTCAGAGAGCAGGCTGGGCTGGGTCTGCGGGGCCCCAGCTACCACTTGGGGAGCATGCAGGGATCCGGCCACTCTGCTCCTTTTCCATCCTGCCGCTGTGTCAGTCCTCTCACTTTCCAACTTTTTTTTAAATGTTGAAATGTTTTTCTTTTTTATTTTATCTTATTATTTTTTTTAAAAAAATATTTTACTGATTTTTTACAGAGAGGAAGAGAGAGGGATAGAGAGTTAGAAACATCGATGAGAGAGAATCATTGATCAGCTGCCTGTTGCACACCCCCTGCTGGGGATGTGCCCACAACCAAGGTACATGCCCTTGACCGGAATCAAACTGGGGACCTTTCGGTCCACAGATCGACGCTCTATCCACTGAGCCAAACCGGTTTCGGCTCCTTTTTTATTTTTTAACGTATTTTTCTTTATTTCTAAGAGGAAGGGAGAGGGGGAGAGAGATAGAAACATCAATGATGAGAAAGAAGCATTGACTGGCTGCCTCCTGCAGCCCCCTACTGGGGATCAAGCTGGTAACCGGGACATATAATTCCTTGACTGGAATTGAATCCAGGACCCTTCAGTCTGCAGGTTGACACTCTATCCACTGAGCCATGCCAGCTAGGGTGAAATGTCTTCCTTTTTTGTTTGTTTCTTTCTTTTCCTTGCCTTTTCTTTCCGTGTGTGTGTGTGTGTGTGTGTGTACACAGAGCACAGGCCTTTGAATCAGACAGAACTGGGTCTAGGTCCTGGCTGTGCCACTCAGTTGTGTGACCTTGGGCAGCTGCTCTCTGGGCCTAGTTTCTTCATCTGTAAAATGGGCTGATGAGTGCTTCCTGTGAGGCAGGGCAGGTAACGCTCCTGGAACACAGCAGGTGCCTGTCTCGGCTTCCTGCTTCCTCTCTTCCCTGTTCTCTCTCTTCATCTCATCACTCTTGTTCCCATCCCTTTTCTCCTCAGTGACAGGCAGGAAGAGGGGGTGATGGGGGTGGGGAGCCGCAGGGGAGGCCGGGGCGGGGCAGCAGAGGCTGACTGTGGCCCCACTGTCCCTCCTTCTCTCCCACCTGCCCCCCTGCAAGCACCCCTCCCTGACAGATGTCCCTGAGCCCGGTGACTTGGGGGCTGAAGCTGAGGTGGAGGGCGGCCTCCTGCCCGAGACAGTGAGTACCCTGGGCCGGGGGGCTGTGCACTGGGAGGGCCTGGTCCCTCCTGTGACCCTCCACTGTCCCCTCCCTCTCCGGCCTCAATTTTGTAATTCATAATACAGGGACCACCCCCCCCCCCCGCCCACCCCGCCCACCCCAGCTCATCAAAGGCGGCCATTGCAAAGCCACACACAAGCTGGAGGCACTGTCAGGCCTCTTACTAACGGTTAATAAGAGGCCACTGTTAGCTGGGACTTTCCAGCTTCCCTCCACCTCGGAACCTTTGTCTGAGGCAGAGGGGCCTGGTGTGGTGGGGAGTGGGGCCTGGGGTGCTGTCAGGGACCCCACCGAGGGCCACTGCTGCTCTCAGACCCCACCCTTTTCTGCCTAAGAAAGCACAGCCGGCCGCAGGGAGCGAGAGGAAGGCTTTAAACCTACTTACGTTTTTGGAGAGAGCAAGCTACCCGCCGCCCTCCGGACCTGCACAGCGGGTAGGAGCCGGCAGGCGGCTCGTTCTTAGCGGGCGGCAGAGGCGTAGCTGGGGTGCCCTCTGTGAGGTGGCCCTGAGAGGGACCCGAGGAGGGCCCAGGGCCCGGGGGGAGCAGATGCCCGAGTCCTGAGGCTGGAGGAACAGCAGGTGGACGGGGTGGCAGGGGGGAGGCAGGGGGTGGGCACAGAGGGCGGGCAGGCCACGGAAGAAACTGGAGCCCCCTGAGGGGCTGTAACTGGAAAGGGCTGAGGTGAGTTTGTACCCACAGGAGCCGGCCTGGCAGCCTCCGGAAGCCGGAGGCGGGCGGGAGAGGGAGGGAGCAGGTGCTGGGGGAATGGCAGCAGAGGGGCTTGGTAGCTGATTTCTGTGTAACTGGTGTCCCTCAGCCAGAGGTGGACCCCCCATGTGAGGGCCACGATGCCCGGGGAGGGGGCAGATGGAGGCCGCCGTGAGCCTCTGCCGCTGCCTCCCACCTCACTGAGGTCCCTGTCTCTCAGGAGGCTGACCCGGGCCTGGAAGGGGACAAAGACAAGGCGTGGGCAGCGGAGCCCGGCGGGGGGCCCGAGGCCGAGGCGCTGCCCCTGCTGCCCACGGCAGGTCCGAGGAGGGACAGTGTGGGCGTGGAGGTGGCCGTGCTGACCAACGACCTGATGCCCGTGGTGGACCAGCAGCAGGTGATCGCCCGGTAAGCGCCCAGCGGGGCCGGCAGGACCCCTCCGGGGCGGGAAGGAGCTGTGCCCGGTGTGGGGGTGCCCTAGAGCCTTCCCGATCCCCCACCGGGTCTGCACACCCCCTTCTGGCCCCGGAGCACGCCCTGGCCTGTGTGGATGCCGGCCGGCTCCGATGCCGACCCTCAGTCTGGGCGGCGGGCGGTGGTTATGAGGCCACGTCCCTGTGGAACAAGCAACGTCTGAAACGCTCTGTGCGCTTCACGGGACCGCGAGGAGCCCACACAAGTCTTCCCTGTGGCTCCTCACAGCCTGTTCTTTAAAGACAGAACTGGCCCTGGCCGGTATGGCTCAGTGGATAGAGTGTCCGCTGCCGACTGAAGGGTCCTGGGTTTGATTCTGGTCAAGGGCACATGGCCTGGTTTTGGGCTCGATCCCCAGTAGGGGGCGTGCATGAGGCAGCCGATCAGTGATTCTCTTATCATTGATGTCTCTCTCTCCTTCTCCCTTCCTCTCTGAAATCAATAAAATACATTTTTTTTAAAAATAAAGGGCAGAATTCTTAAACAAAATTGAACATTTTGGATATAAATATTTTAAAAAATGTATTATACATGTCTCCGCCTGATGAAACATTGTGTGCTGGATGTGTTTCTTTTGCATTAAAAACTGAGGTGTGATGGACACATAAGTGTGTCAGGCATGCCATGTACTGATTCCGTGTCTGTATCCATTGCGAGAAGTTTGTCAGCGTGAGTCTAGGTAACATCCGGCGTCACAGTTACCACAACGTCTTCCTGGTGAGGCGGACTCGTACAATTTATCTCTGAACAGCTGTCAGATGTGCGGACAGGGTTTTACCTCTGGTATCTGTGCTGCACGGGGCATGCCAGGAGTTATTTTTAAAAATATATATTTTATTGATTTTTTCACAGAGAGGAAGGGAGAGGGACAGAGAGCTAGAAGCTGCCTCCTGCGCAACCCCTACTGGGGATGTGCCTGCAACCAAGACACATGCCCTTGAAATCGAATGTGGGACCTTTCAGTCCGCAGACCGACGCTCTATCCACTGAGCCAAACCGGTTTTGGCCCTAGGAGTCATTTATACCTTTTGGCCACCTTCACCATTTGGCCAGCCCTCCAGCCTGATGGGCTCTATATCCAGGAGTGGGCTGGGATTGCTTCTTAGAGTCTGTGGGTCAGTAGGAGCAGCGGACCGGTCTCTGTCTGTCTGTCTGTCTGTCTGGCTGCACTCCATGTGCCCGCGGCCGCTGGCTGTGGGGATCTCCCAGAGGCCAGCTTTCTTTCCGTCTCCAGGCTGCTGCTGCCCATCAGCTCTGGGTGGCGGGCGGCGGGCAGTGAGCTTGGGGTCCAGGGGAGATCCTCACCCTTCCTGTGGGCACAGCCACTGCCCTGTAGAGTGAGGTCCGGTAGGAACCCTGGTTCTGACACTGAACCTGGGCCTCCCTCTCGGAGCCTCAGTGAGGCCTGTGGGAGCGGAGCTGGTGGGAGGGCCCCGTGGGTCCCGCTGGACGACGGGTGCTCGGTGACCGTGGGTCCCGTCACGCGTGCTCTCCTCCCCCCGGCAGGCTGCAGCTGCTGGAGCAGCAGGTGGTTGGCGGGGAGCAGGCCAAGAACAAGGACCTGAAGGAGAAGCACAAGCGGCGGAAGCGCTACGCGGACGAGCGCCGGAAGCAGCTGGTGGCTGCACTGCAGAAATCGGACGAGGACAGCGGGGAGTGGGTGCTGCTCAACGTGTACGACTCCATCCAGGAGGAGGTGCGGGCCAAGAGCAAGCTGCTGGAGAAGATGCAGAGGAAGGTGAGGCCCCGGAGGCGCCACTGCCCTGCCCCTCTGCCCCCTGGCTCTAGGCGGCACTCATTCACCCTTTCACAGCACGTTAGTGCCCACTGTGCCCTCCGTGCTGTGGAAGCAGCCACAGGGGCAGGTGTGTCTGCTGTCCTGGGGCTTACTTTTATATATCTATATCTATATCTATATCTATATCTATATCTATATCTATATCTATATCTATATCCGAAACCGGTTTGGCTCAGTGGATAGAGAGTCGGTCTGCAGACTGAAAGGTCCCAGGTTCGATTCAGGTCAAGGGCATGTACATTGGTTGTGGGCACATCCCCGGTGGGGGGTGTGCAGGAGGCAGCTGGTCGATGATTCTCTCTCATCAATGTTTCTGGCTATCTATCCCTTTCCCTTCCTCTCTGTGAGAAATCAATAAAGTATATTGATTGGTTTCAGAGAGGAAGGGAGAGGGTGAGAGAGAGAGAGAAGCATCAATAATGAGAGAGAGTCATTGACTGGCTGCCTCCTGCACATCCCACAACCCAGGCATGTGCCCTTGACCAGGGATTGAACCATGACCTCCACTTCATAGGTCCACACTCAACCTATCTGTGCCTCCCCGTCGAAGGGATTTTTATTCACATCGGGGTGTTGTGTTGCGTTTTAATGTCTGGCTCTGTGCCCTAGTGCTATGGGGGGGGGCTGTCTTCTGAAATGCACTGACTTACATTTCCTGTTTCTTGTGGTAGCTCTCTTCTGTTTATTTCATAACGACACAGCAGTTACACTCGGGAGAGATGAAAATATGTCCACACAAAAACTTGTACACTGACGTTCATAGCAGCATTATTCATCATAGCCCGAAGCAAGCATACATGTAAGGGCTGTGGCATAGTCACCCAACGGGGTATTAGCATAAAAGGAAGTACTGATACATGACACAACACGGTGAGCCTTGAAAACACTGTTTCGTGAGAGAAGCCAGACACAAAAGATGACAGAGTCCATGATTTCATTCAGACGAAATGTCAGAATAAGCACATTTATAGACAGGAAGTGGACTGGCGGCTGCCCAGGGCTGGGCTTGGGAGAAGAGGGGAATGGCCGATGAGCACGGGGTCTCTCTGGGTGAGGAAGCGCTCTCACACTGACTGGATAATGGCCGCACACATCCAAATACGCTGAAAGCCACTGAGCGAACCGAGCACTCGAAACGCATCGTTTCCAGCTTCGGGCGGCAGAGGTGGAGATCAAGGACCTGCAGTCGGAGTTCGAGCTCGAGAAGATCGACTACTTGGCCACCATCCGCCGGCAGGAGCGGGACTTCCTGTTCTTCCAGCAGCTGCTGGAGCTGGTGCAGCCGCTCATCCGCAGGGACTGCAACTACAGCAACCTGGAGCGGGTCAGGCGCGAGTCCTGCTGGGACGAGGACAGCGGCCTCTGGAAGATCCCGGAGCCCGCGGTCATAAAAACCAGCCTCCCAGTAGGTCAGGAGCCTGGCTGGCCCTCGGCCCCCCTCCCCGCCTCCACGCTCTGCTCCCCTGCAGCCCGACCGGGAGCCCCGGGCCTCGTCCTGCTGGCTGTGGGTGAAACAGACACGTGACCCTGAGATTCCAAACCATGGGGGGCCCGAGAGGAGGGTGTGTGCTGAGTCAGACAGGAGTGGGCTGGCTCCATCGCTCCCTGTGTGACCTCCTGGGGACTCAGTGTCCTCCTCTGTGAAATGGGGGTTAATAACAGCACCTTCAGGGTGCGGGTGGCTTAACATGTGTTAATACACGTAAAGCCCTCAGAGCCACGCCAGGCACATCTTAAATGTGGGGTGCCCTGCAGCAGTAGCATCGTGATCCTGTCATTTCACCCCACAGCCATCTGTGGAGGACAAGGCCCACGGCACTGGTGTGCAGGAGGAAGTGGGATCTCAGGGAGCATGCGTGTCTGTCAGTCACGGCATGAGGGGCAGGGCCGGGGGTGCCCACAAGCTGTCCCCTGCAGGCCTGGCTCCATCTCTGCCTTTGCACTGACCTCTGTGACCTTAAGACGGCCAGTGCCTCCTGGGCTTGGCGCTCTCATCTCCACAGCAAAGGGTGGGCCAGATGGTCTTCAAGGCGCCGCCTCCTCTATCGAGTACCAGGGTCTGGCCCGACTGACAGGCTCTTTCTGCAGCCACGTGGCTGGCTCTGCCACGCAGACAGCAGTAGCTGTGGCATCCCACAAGGCCCTGCCTCCTCTCTCCCCCATCAGAGTGTCGTCCACTGACACCATCTCTGCTGAGACTCCAGGCAGCTGCAGGCTTCCTCCCGCCCCACCAGCCTGCCATCTTGCCTGGAAGCAGGGGGGGTGGTGTCTTTGGGGTCTGAGCCCCCCTGTTGTGTTCCCCAGAGGCCCCCTTTGCTTGGACCGGGAAGTCCTCCCTTGGCCCCAAGCCTGAGCCAGGCCTAACACCCCCCCACCCCAGGCGGGAGAAGGTGCAGCAGGCACTTCAGCTTTTGTTTTCTCGTAGCAGTTTCAACAGGGCTGCAGAGCAAACCGGCCCGCAAAACCTCCGCAGCGGACAGTGGCGAGCTAGGCCTGGTAAGACCCCAGGGTGGGGGGCCTAGGGGGCTGGCCCCGAGGTGCATTACCACGGGAGCTGGGTCCTTCCTGTGTGCCTGCTGGCACCTAGACCTTAGTCCCCCCGGCCCTCACTCAAAGCACGCATGGTCATAACCGCCAGCAGGGAGGGGGTGGTTCATGTCGGCCCAGCTGCGGGGAAGATCAGAAGCGTCACCTCACAGTTTGTCAGCCGTACAGTTAGGTTCCCCGGGCCCTGGCTGGTCTAAAGCTCTGATTGGCTGCTTTTGATAGCTTAACCGTATGAAAAAGGGCAAGATGTTCCTGAAAAACACACACACATCCTTACCCTGGGACCACGAAGGGATTATGTCAGTCAGAATGCTTTACTTCCAGTGGCAGCTGCCCAAAGCAAACAATCACAGGCAAAAGGGGGAATGGCTGTGCATGCTAAGAGGACCAGTTTCAGGCATGGCTGGATCTAGGGGCTCAGTCAGCCAGGCTTCCCTCCGTATTCCAGCTTTGGACTCAGGCAGGCTTTCTCCAAGCGAGAAAGGCAGGAAAAATGGCTGCTGGCAATTAGTGACCCAACAGAGAGACGGTCTCTTAGAGTGTCCTCACACCAATGCTTGTGCAGATTCTGATCTGTTCTGCTGGGCCTGGGCCTGCTCTTGGGCCAATGACTATGTCCAGAACATGGAGCTCTGTGATTGGGCCAGTGGGGGTCACATGTCCAGCTGTGTAGCTAGGAGTAGGTGGGTGGGAGTGGTGGTATTAGGGCACTCTGAATGATCACCCCACCAGGACGATGTCGGGGGGAGAGGGATAGGTCCCTGAAGGAAGAGATTCAGGGAGAAGAGAAGTCCACGAGAGTGAAAAACAGTAGTTCTTGGTACTATGAAGATTGGGACTCCGATTCTAATGATCATGAACGTGTCCCTGAGCTGAGCACTTGCTGCCTCTCTGTGGTGTGCCATGATGGGCCTGGGTGTGTGGCGTTGTCCTGGCCCTGCTGGGGCTGGCACAGTGCCCGCTGTTGAGGTCTGCAGGAGGGAATGAGGCACTTCCCGTTTCCAAGGAAGGGGTGGGGGTGTGGGCTCCACTGGATCCCACCCCAGGAGGCCGGGTCTGTAGCGGATACCAGGCAGTGGGCGGGAAGCCCCATCCCACCAGGCTTGCGGAGCTGCTGAGCTCTGGGTGAGGGCCCTCGTGAGAGCTGCACAAATAAGGGGTCTTAACCCGTGGGGGTTTGGGATCTCAGCAGGAAGAAGACCGCTACAAGCTGATGCTCAGTCGGAGCGACAGTGAAAATATCGCCAGTAACTACTTCCGGCCAAAGCGGGCCAGCCAGATCCTCAGCACAGACCCCATGAAGAGGCTCAGTGAGTGCCCGCCCACCTCCCGCCTTCCGGCCTCTTCCCAAGAGCCATCTCGGCCCTCTGCCCACTGGGAAGGGCGTGATGGGTGGATGGGGTCAGACAGGCCTGGTCCTCAGCCATTCAATGGGGGAGACACAGGACTAGGTAAAATGAAATGGGGAACAGCCCAGCCCAGGGCCTGGCACGTAGTAGGTGCTCAATGCACAGTCTCCCCTTTCCTCCTGGGGGAGACGTGCTATTTGACTCATCCTCCTCCCCTGGCAGGCACGAGCCCCCCAACACTGGCCAGGGCCTGGCGTGGGGCCCCAGGCCGCTGGTCAGTGACCTGCTTTCTCAGCTGCCAGGACACTGGCTTTCCCCTGAGCTAAGGGGACAGACAGGGTCACAAGAGCCAAACACTTTCAGAAACAAGAATTGAAAATCACTTCATTCTTCTGCTTTTAAAGACTACAGGACCTCCAGTAAAACACCCACGAAAAGCACATCTCCGTCCTTTACTGAGGTTATGTAAGAGACAACGTGGGTGGAGTTGAGGAATAAGGAAAGAAAGGTTGGGCAGGAAATAAACTGACAGCAGCTGAGGACCTGGCACTGTGCCCATGCGGCAGATGGGGAAACTGAGGCCCAGAGAGGCTCAGACCGGCATCTCTGACTGAGCTCAGGGTGGCTGCAAGGGATGTCTCAGGCCAGCCTAAATCTCTGACCAGCTGCTTTTGATAGCTTAACTTTGTAAAAAAGGGAATGAGGGAATGCTGTTCCTGAAACACACACACACACACACACACACACACACACACAAAACAAACAAACAAAAACACAAAAACAAAAAACTATTCTTAACCTAGGACTGTGGTGGGCAAACTGCGGCTCGCAAGCCACATGCGGCTCTTTGGCCCCTTGAGTGTGGCTCTTCCACAAAATACCATGGCCTGGGCGAGACTATTTTGAAGCAGTGGCGTTAGAAGTTTAAGTTTAAAAAATTTGGCTCTCCAAAGAAATTTCAATTGTTGTCCTGTTGATATTTGGCTCTGCTGGCTATTGAGTTTGCCGACCACTGGCCTAGGACCACCGAGGGTTTTTTTCCAAGCGAGGCCGCCCCTCAGGAAGTGGGGGGCTGCGCTTTGAACCCAGGCTTGTCTGGCTCGAGATCCCAGGCTGTGGCCCAGCCCAGACCCTTTGGACGCAGACACAGTGCTGGGTCTGAGGCCCACACCAGAGCAGCGTCTTAGAACTTGGGGTCCTAGCAGCTCTAGCCGGGCGGGGGCTGCACCCACACCCCATGCTGTCTGTCCACACCTGCGCCCCGGCTCACCGGCGCCCCCGTGCCTCTCCTCCGCAGCACATCACAGCTCGCCGCCCGGCCTCATCTCCCCCCTCGGCAACAACTCTGCCATCCCGCCCGCCCAGGCCCCCGAGATGCCGCAGCCCCGGCCCTTCCGCCTCGAGTCCCTGGACATCCCCTTCGCCAAGGCCAGGCGCAGGAAGAGCAGAAGCAGCTTCGGCGGCGAGCCTCTGTGAACACGCTGCCTGCTGGGGGCTGTGACTGCCAGGCCCCCCGGGCAGCCCCAGCCGGGCCTCCTCCCTCCCGCCCCCACCGTGATGGGGCGCTTGAGGGGGCCTCGCCCTGGAGGGCGAATTCCCTTCCCTGTTCCCCAGAAAGCCCATGTGTGCCCGGCGGGAGTCCTCAGAGCTGGACCCTCCTGGGGAAGGCCCCTCCAGCTCCCAGTGCCACGTCAGTATTGCCAGCTACTAGCCTGCCACGGAGCCGCCGCCTGTGCCCCCCGCCTGTGCCCGCCGCTGTTCGGAGTCTCCACGGGCTCTGCCTCCAGGCCTCCACCAGCAGCCCGGGCCTTGTGGTCAGCCACCTCCCCGGACCGAGCTCAGCACGTTGGTGCTGGAAAACTGTGTCTCTGTCCAGCTGGCCCAGTTCCTGGGGAAGCCCCGCAGGACGGCTGCGGGAGGCCTGAGCACCTGCCCCCGATGCCCGCTGCTGCCCACTGCTGCCCGCTGCTGCCCGCTGCTCTGTGGCCCCAGGAGAGCGCTCCACACGAAGCTGCCCCAATAAACTGTCTTTCGCCCACAAGCCCCTTCCCTGGTTCTCTGGCAGTGGCACTGGGCCCCGCCCTCCTGGCAGCTCTTCCTGGGCAAAGGGTCTTCAGTAGCTGCAGCCGTGAGGACAAACAGGCCCCAAAGTCCCGGGAGGCCTGCAGGGGTGCCCTCCAGCGCTTGTTTCCCGGGAAGCATCTGAGCTGTCCGACTCTCAAAGGACCTGCAGTCCGGGAAAGCAGAGCCCGTGGGAGGAAAGGCTGCGGCTCCCGGAGGCCCAGGCAGGGTCTGCCCTCAGGGGCTGTGCTGGAGCCGGGTGCCCTGATATGGCCAGAAACGAACCCAGGCCATCCCTGCAACCTAGGCCACACACCCTACCCTCGTTCCTCATAGCCCAGGCCTGCCTCAGGGGAGGGGCTCACTCCTGAGGGAGGAGGTTTGGCCTTTGGTGCTGTCCTGAGCCTCAGTTCACCCAGTGTCATCTGTGAAACAAGGATACACACCCACCTTCTAGAGTTCACGTGAAGGTAAAATGAGGTAGCTTCCAAGTTCCGGTGCACAGCAGGTGCTCCTGGTCAGCCCATCCCTCCCCCCCCCTCCTCCTCTATATTAGTTACTGTGGCTCATGCCAAGGACCACACGCTGGGCCAGGGAGCTCACATCTGGAGAAGCTGCAGTGGGTGGAGGGTGCTCAGGTACCTACGGAGGTGGGCTGCAGGTACACTTTGAATAAGAGGCAGCCAGGTCTTCATGGGAACAAAGCCCGCTTGGTGAAGGGAGCAGCAGCAGGAGGAGGGGGGTGGGGGCTGGGGGCAACCATAAAGAATGGAGACACTCAGGCTTTAGATGGGAATGTGGGGAGGGAGGGGGAGCTGCATGAGCAAACGGCGGGACGTGGGGAAGCTGGGGGTATGTTAGAGGTCGGAGGAGACCGGTTCCAGGTAAGCCCTGGGTAGGGGCTAAGAGGAGCACAAGGCTGCTGACCTGAGAGTGAAGCGCCTTTGGGTGTCTGTGGGCTGTGGCGCACTCCTAAGCAGCGGTTTGAGTTAGAGGTGGACTGAAGTCTAGGAACTGCTTGTGGTAGCGTTTACTTAGTTAGACCTGTGATGGCCTGAGGCAGGTGGGAGGCGAGCCCTGCCCCTGGTCCATGTAGAAGGGGTGGGAGCCAACATTGCTGTGAGGTTGCTCAGCCTCGCCCTGCACTGGCGCCTTAACCTGCTCTAGTCCCAAGAACCCAGGCCTGTTCTGAAGGTGCACAGATGGGTAGGCGAGCTGCCTCTGGCCATTTTATTTCCAGCCTAGAAGCGGGAGTGAAATCCCTGGTAAAGGGGCTAGTGAGGGACAGAGCTTGGGAATGAGCCCAATTAGAGTTTTTTGGTTTTTTTTAATTGACATATTGATTTTATTGATTTTTCACAGAGAAGAAGAGAGAGGGTGAGAGGGCAGGGCGGGGTGAGGGGGCAGGGCGGGGTAAGAGGGCAGGCGGGGCGAGAGGGCAGGTGGAGTGAGAGGGCAGGGTGGGGCGGGTCCAGCTCCAGGTAACTGGACCCTAGGCCTAACCCAACCAATCAGGTCAGCCAAGGTAGCGGCACCATCCTCCCTATAAAACCCATTGATATGTTAAGTTCTTTCTCTTTCTCGCCCATGCCCTCGTTGGTGTAGGTGAGACTGGGCTCGGACTAGTCCGAAATAAATACAGGCTTTCTGCAATTGCATCGGATTCGGCTCCCTGGTAGTCTTTGGGGTTTATGACACTTGGGCATTACAAGGGATAGAGAGTTAGAAACATTGAGAGAGAATCATCCATCAGCTGCCTCCTGCACACCCCTACTGGGGATGTGCCTGCAACCAAGGGACATGCCTCTGACCGGAATCAAACCTGGGACCTTTCAGTCCGCAGACCGACACTATCCACTGAATCAAACCGGTTTTGGCCAATTAGAGCTTTTTTTGTGGGAGGCTGGCCCACCGCCCTTCCGCTGCCTGCAGCGTGGGCCACCAGGCAGGACAGGGTAGGCCACGCCAAGGACCCTGGGCCCGCCAGCCGCGGGAGTCTAACGTGTCCCTTTCCCTGGTCTCATTTTCCCAGTCTCTTCCTCTCCGGAGATGGCGGGGGTGGGGCCTGGCTCCCAGTCCGAGGCTGTGCTGGACCAGAGAGAGACGAGAAGGTGGTCCAGGGAGGCCACGGTGGGAGGCCACGGTCCAGACCAAGCGAGGCCAGACCACTCAGACTAAGAGTCCCACCGATTGGCCCGGGCTGCAGAGCTGTCTCTCTAGGATTGGGCCGTTTGCTTAAGGGGGGCGGAGCCTAGCGCCCCCTCAGCCAATAGGACCGAGAGGTCCCGCTCACACCCGAGGCACTTCCGGTGGTGCTCCTGGCTCGGTTCCTATCATCCGAACAGCCGCTCCCGGCGCCCAGCCCCGGCGTACGCAGATCACTTCCGGGTGGAACTCCAGGGTCCCGAGCCGCGATTGGCTAGCTGGGGCACTTCCGGTGGCCAGGTGCCGCGGTCCTTGGGCAGGAGCAGAAAGATGGAACTTGGCGCCGGCGCCCGCGTTTGTTCCCTCTCGTGGCTGCTGCTGCTCCTCCCCTCGCTCGGCTTGGTCGGCGCCAGCGGTCCCCGCACCCTAGTGCTGCTGGACAACCTCAACGTGCGGGAGACTCATTCGCTTTTCTTCCGGAGTCTGAAGGGTGAGACGGGGTCCGAGGGGGCGGCGGGTGAAAGCCTGAGTTTGGAAAAGGTCCCCCAGCCCGAGGGCAACGGCCATCCTTCCTCGCACTCGTTTTGCACGAGCGGGCCGCCAAGGTCTGGCCTGGCGCTGGGGGTGAGGGGAGGGCTGTCGGGGTCTCAGCAGCTGTGGTTTCCCTCAGCCTCATCGCCTCTTCTCCTCCTGCAGATCGGGGCTTTGAACTCACATTTAAGACCGCAGATGACCCCAGCCTGTCTCTCATTAAGTACGGAGAGTTCCTCTATGACAACCTCATCGTCTTCTCCCCCTCGGTAGAAGGTAAGGGCTGCGCGTCACCCCCACAACCGGGATGGTAGGTTCAGGACCGATCTGTCGCTTCGTTCTGGATCTTGGGGCATGTTCTGGGTCATGGGATGTGTCACTAGCCCTGGCCACAGCTGCTGCCAGTGAAGAGGAACGTGTTAACTCCGATCCTGGGCCAATGAGGGCTCAGCTCCCTAAAAGACACAGCTGAGGGTTGTAGGGTCAGGTGTTGGAGCCTGGGCCCTGCTAATCTGAGAAGTGAATTTTCACTGTGAAGCCACTGATAAGAAAGATGGGGAACCCCCTAGCGGGGCTGGCCCGGGTGGAAGGAGGAGATGGCATGCTGTTAACAGGGCGTGCTGTGCTGTAAAGACTCTGTCGCAGTTGAACTTGTGGATTCATAGTTCTCAGGCTGAAAAAGCCTGGCAGTGATCTAGCCTGGCTCCCTGTGTGAGGCTGGATGGATAGGTCTAGACAGAATGAATATCTTTACTTCAGTGTTCCTGTGACAGAGAGCTTAGCGGCAGGCAGCTCCATCACTGGACAACTCTGTTACGTTCTTATGTTAAATTGGAATTTTCCTCCTACTTCCTACTTTATTTATTTTTTGTTGGGGCGGGGGAGACGGGGTTTCTTATACTCCTCAGGGCCTCAGAGTGGAGGGCTAATGCTTTGATTGCAGGCACAGCCTTCACGTAATCAGAACTGGTTCATCTGATTCTTCTCCAGACGAAATACCCCAGTTCCTTTTCTTTGGCTGTTTCTCTTTGTCGCGCTTTTTGGGGAGCATCCAGTCATTCTCTTCTTTAGTGGCTTCCATTTACCTTTTCTCCGAGGGCTCAGGGTGTCCCTGTCTGGGGTAAGACAGGACTACTGTTTCTCCCTTCAGCTGAAGAAGCTCAGGAAGTCTTTCGTTTCGCTGGCATCTACTTTATTCTCTGTAGTGTCTGTGAGTTTGGATTCAGCGAGATCCCTGAAGGATTTTTCTCTGGGCTCCCAACAGTTACCATGATTCCCCCACCTCCCCTGCAGAATGTGCCTTTGGTGTTGGCTTTCCGGAGGCAAGCGTAGTTGGGTGGAAGTGAGCCCAGGTTGTACGAATGGAAATCTTCAGGTTGCTGGGGGCGGGGGGCAGGGTAGGTGAGTGGAGTCTTCAGCTGGTTAATTGGCGTTTGCCCAGTTTCTTCTGTGTCTGGAGCTCTGAGGGAGGTCCTCACAGCGACAGAGAGCCTGCCCCTGAGGAGTTCTTTCAGTCCGCCTTTGAGGCGGTAAGAATAAGGACCTGAAATGAGATGCCAAACCCTGGGTGTGGGTGTACACGGTGGAGCGCAGGAGCCGTGTGCTCAGGAGGCAGAATGGGAGTGCCGCTGAGGAGGAGGGAGACGGTGGGTGAGACGGGGAGAAGGTGGAGAAATGGGTGGGAGAAGGTAGGTGTCAGAGAGCCTAACAGTGTTTCCCAAGTGTTAGTCAACTTCCCGTACCTCCTTCATATTTACCATGTGCCATATCACCTGTGCTAACAGTGTTTTTCTTTAAACTGACTTTTTACAAACTTTAAAAGGAACCCAGTAATGAACCCAGTATCGCCACGGAAATGGAGTTGGTGTCACCCGGCCTTCGGGAGGAGGCAGCTGTAAATAGGTCACCTGCGGTGCTGAGGTCTAACGGATTGTGTTCCCTGCGAAGGCTTTGAGCCCGAGGCGTCTGTCCTCTTACAAGAGGAGATGAGAAAGTGAGGGACGTGTTAAAGCCCAGAATCAAACTGAGACACTCTGACAGAGGAACCCTCTCTCTCTGAGATTTGACGTTATTTAAAGCTCTGCCCCAGAATGGGTCCCACACTTTGGGAAACATGGCCGCAGTCCTCCGGGCACTCCTGGGAGGAGGCTTGTATCTGCTGGTGGGGGTCAGGGTCAGGGTTTGGTCCCTGCTCCAGGGGCCCTTCTATGGTCCTGGGACCACCGTTAGCCCTCAGGTGTGAGAACGCTGGCTGACTTCTGTTGCCGAGTTCAGTGGTTCCTTGCCCTCTCTGGATCAGGACGCTTCCAAGTTGAATTCAGTAAAGTAATGACTACAGAAGAAGGGTCTTCTGTACCCCAAAACCAGGGTCCCTTTTTGTAGGTAGGGAAATGGGCTTAGAAAAGTGAA